TATATTGCTGCAGCAACCAGAACATTGGGTAAAGAGATAATTTGTGTGAAGAGATTTTCTAGCTAATTGAATATTGAGCATAATGTCCATTCAATTTCCTACACTTGTTAATATTTTCTAAGCATGTAAGATCTCTCTCAGAATTTATCAGAGTGAAGTGTATCAGAGCCGATACACTTTAGATTTTTATTTCTGAACAGGTATTTCTATATGCCAGGTCTTCCTTAGAACTTCAATTAGTTATGCAATGAAAAAAAAAATGATTGTATGAGTGTGATCCCAGGGAAGCCTTTGTTTACTTTTTTGCTTAACTAAATACTCTGAGCCTTCTCAGCCTGTGATTTTGCTTCATTCTTAACAAAATTAAAGTTATTAAACATACAAGTATTTGGATCAGCTTGGCTATACTAATAATGGATTACTTGAAATTTACTCTAATACTAGCTTTAATATTTTGCTCAATGCCTTACACAAAATCAAACATCAATAAACATATTGAATAAGTAAGCACATGCTAACTACAAATTCAGGTATACCACAAGTATTGGCAGTGAGAAAAGAAGTCTTAGTCCTTCCTCTCTCTCGTCATTTTAGGGTACAATCTACCCTATTTAATGATTTTATTGTTACTATTAGCATGTTTGATCAGCGTGTACATTCATTCAACAGTACTGATTGAATATTTTCTTTCAGATATGATTCTAGGAGTTCAGAATTCATCATTAAAAAATAAACTTATAAAGAATGACCAATCATTGTATAAATATATTGCATGTAAATATGTGTGTTTGTATGTGTATAAATGCCCTTTAAATGCTTCAAATAAACCTCACCTGTAAAGAAAATAATAACAAACAATACATGTGCTATGGGTAGGTGATTTTTATCTTTTGAAAAGTCTCAGAATGGATTTGTTTATGCATATCAATACTTTCCATTTTATGTCATTATGGTATACACCAATTTAAAGAACTAGTGTCACAATCTACAATGAAATGAACTCTTATTTTCATAAATGCATCAGTCAGTTATGAAATGGCTCACCATGTGCCACCCATGTCCCTTAAGCCTGTTCAGCTTGTGACTTCTCTCTGTGGTTCCACATGACAGTCATTAGAGTGACAGTCCTCACCAGACTGCTTTTCCATTGTGTTCTTCATGCTGGTTGTAAAGCCTCTGCTCACCCGCCATGTTCTTCTGGAGCATCTTGTGATTTGCTTGATGAGCTATAGCTTAATCCAGACAGACAATAAAGACCCTTGGAGTTGTTTTCTCATCCCTTTCATTTTTATTACTTCAACCACATGTTCTCAAAATGCACATTACAGCAAATCTGGGTATGTCTTGGGTGTTTTGTATATTTCTCCTATTTCTTAGGCAGGGACTGTTATAGCATATTTTTAACACCATGGAAAAAAGTATAAAGAATAATCTTCTAAATGTTTTAAAACATTTGGATGTTTTACTTTTCTTGAAAAATCATCTCAATTATTCTCAGATATCCTCAGATCATGATACATCATCAGAAAGCTAGGCATTTTGACAAAACTATCTTGACATCACCCTTATGTTCATCCCCAGTGGAACATACTTCACTGAGAAGAACTTTGGATTTTTATCCTGGGCTCTGAGTCATGGGTAAATGTGAATGGATCCTGTTCCTTCACTTGTAGGAATGCTATGAACAATTATCCACAATAGAAAGTAGCAAGGAAGAAAAAATATTACTTGCATCTTATAAAACTATGATATTATATTACCTACTTTTCTTTCTAGATAGTGTGGAATGAAATAGAATGTTGCCTAAAAAAGGCCAACTAAAACTACTTGATCTGTAACTTATTTCTCAGTGTATCTGATTATACAACTGATGATTTGTTATTGGTGCTATTTGGTCTGTATGTCAAGTGCATTTGGACAACCTGCCATTACCCTAGCTCATTTCACCCAGTGAGATTCCCCTTTTCACACAGTATAGTTTATTTGTTTGAAATTGTTAGAAAGTTGATGAAATATGGGATTCAAACTTGGATAGCCTGATGTAGCCCCTTTATACAAGTGCACTGATCTCTGGACTAGATGGCCTGAGTCCTTTGATTAGAAAACCCTGTAAATAGAATTTTAAGAGATGCTACTAAGTAAGGTACATATAAATTCTTTTGACCCATAATCTATGTAATATTTTGACCCAATATTGTTGGTTGTGATTAAGTTATATTTGAGATACTAAACAGAAAGGGCAAAGAACACCAAGTTGAGCTACTGTAATAATGAATTGTATACTAAAATGAAAATAGTTTTAATCATCTGAAAGAAGACTTGAGAAATCTGTGGACAAATAGAAATGAGATTATAAAAACCATATTTATTATGTACAAGAGAAGAAAGAGGTAAAAACATGATAAGATGGGCATTTAAGGCTTATTTAAAACACTGAAAATTACACAAGTGGTATATCTTCTTAGGAGAGAAGATGGAATATACAGAGAAGCACAAATATTTCATGCAGGGCGATTAGTATTCCAGATATACTAGATACATCCATGGATATTTAAAGCTTAAATTATACTTCATAAAATATATTCTTATTTTTCTAGGGTTAACAAATACCACAGGTTGGATAGCATAAACAACAATAATAATAATAATAAAGCTTTTCTTATAGTACTATAGGACAGAAGTCCAAAATCAAGGTGTTGGGAAGTTTGTGGTCTTCTGTGACTTCTTTCAGCTTGAAAATTGCTACCTTTTTGTTGTGTTCTCATGTTTGCTTTTTCGAGGTTTGTACATATCTTATCCTAACCTCTTCTTACAATGATACTAGTAATATTGGATTCAAAACCACCTATATGACTTCGTTTTGGCTTAATTACATCTTTAAAAGTTCTATATCCAAACTGGGTTACATTCTGAGATAGTAGGAGACCTCAGCTTAGGAATTTAACATGTAAATTTGGGGAGGAACACAAATCAACCCATAACAGTATTAACTCATGCATATTCATTTGCAAGCTGATTTTTCACCTTTCAGCATGACTGGAAGGTCTTTTCATGACAATAAAAGTGAGTTTTACCCAAAACAGTGTGTTCATTGGATGTAGACAAACATATTTATATAAATGAATGAGCCAGTTCCATTGGCTCTCCTCTTTAAGTGGTCTTAATTCTTTTTTATATAACTAATGCTTCAGTGAATATTATTGTAATGCCTATTCACATGAGCCTAATTATGTTCACAGCTTAATCTTCTTGAAGTAGAGCTGCTGAAGCAAAGAATAGAATATATAACAGCTTTTGATATATTTTATCAGATTAGCCAAAGATTGTACCAATTTACATTCATACGAGTAGTATAGAAGAATTGTTGTTTCTTCTCTTCCCTCAAATTTCACTAACGTTGAATATTATCATTTAACAAGTATTAATAATTTGGTAAAAGATGAATATGATTTTATTGTTTGAATTTACATTCTTTGATTACTAGTGCAGTTGAGTTCTTTGTTCATAGGTTCATTTAGTCCCTTCTGTTTCTTTTGTTAGTTGTCTATGTCTTTAGTCCATTCTAAACTAATATCTTCATTTATTTTCATTAATTTTGGTTCACCATGAAATATGGGATAGTCTTTTTTATAATGTAACTACTTCTTGGCTTTCATATGTTTCTACTTTTTCTTATACATTTTAATACTATTGTCATATTTTAACTTATATTTGTTTTTATTTTTCTCTTTTCAAATTTCTATTCTTGTACATTTAATATTCTTCATGAATTCGAGAAACATTAATATTGATTTTTTTTACAACAAAATTAAAGTTGGTTTGTTTATAGCAAATGATTATGTAGAGGGAGGATTGGATTTGGGTTAGTTATTTTTATCACCTTGGCACTCAATTTTAGAATTGCTTAATATATTCCTAGTAGGTCAAGATGCTTAAGAATTATCTACAAGACCCTAAATGTGAGGAAAATGTTATTGGCACTTTAGTTGGATAAATATAAGCTTTTTGATTTTAGAATGGACTTATTCCTATTATTTTTCTTTGACACTACTCTTGAATTTATTCCATTTTTCTGCCAAGTGAGATTATCCCAAGTTACCAAGAGAAAGTTTATTATAATATACTATACCTTCTTTCCTAGTAGCAAGCACATTCTTTGATTTTAGCATAATTTAAAATAGCCTTCCTTGATTTGTAAGGAAATTATTACATTGATTTCTTAACCATTCTTTTTTTGGAAAGTCCTAGACTCCTTTCTTCATAGTCTATGTTCTAAGTTTTATAAATGTGACCTTTAGGAAAAACATTTTCCCCAGACTTTTTTTCTCCACCTCCTTTCCATACACAGTCTAGCCAAAGGGCTCCCCAAAGTATTCACACCTTCAGGTGCCCCTCTGTGATCATAGCATTGTGTTGCACTAATTTATTACTTTAATTAGCAATCCTTATGTTACATCACAACATCAGTGAATACTAAGGCTGTTTGTTCGTCATTGTAGACTAGCACTTGCAATAAATATGTGCTGATAAAAAATAAATAATGCTGAATGATTGAGAACATGGTAATATTTCACAGCAAGTCAAATATCTGATATCAATTAAATACTAGCTCTTGTGTGTGGCTTATATGTGTGTTTGGTTCTGATAGTTGAGGAGGAATGGTGGTATCCAAAGGTGGGGTGCCTATAAATACTTTGCTGCTCTTACTGATGAATCTGCATGTAACTAATGAGTTGCAGCATATCTGCTCCTTCAGTTGCCAGGGAAGGGACCAAAAGAATCATCTCTTCAGTAGTTCCTTATTCAGGAAGACACAAACCCTGAGTTCAATGGAGGATCAAGGCCATAGCAATTTTGTATATGCAGGTGAAGTACAACTTTGCTCTTCTTCTCTCTCTGATCAGCCTTCTCCTTATATCCCCCTTCATTAAGACACTCAAAGAATCACTGAGTTTACTTGGGGCCATATTTCCATGCTGTTGACCCTGAATTTTTTTCTCATTACTGTAGATTTATGCATATGTCTTTGAAAATATCAAGTCTGTCCGACTGGAAGCACTGCTCTTATCCTTACTAAGCATTGTGGTCCTTGTTCTTGTTAAAGAGCTGAATGAACAGTTTAAGAGGAAAATTAAAGTTGTTCTTCCTGTTGATTTAGTTTTGGTAAGTATGAAATCAACATTTAGCTTTTTGCTATACAGAGCTTGCCAGTTCTTGGAGTAATCTACAGATGCTTACTGTGTTGTCTACAGTAACCTACAGCAACTTCTGTGTCTCATTAAAGAGGGGCTAATTTGCGTGGGTATACATTTATGTAAGAACAGGAAACATTTTGAGTCAATAATTTATAAAGGAGGTGCACATGTTTTCAGTTGATACAGAGCTCCTCATATGCTTTTAATTTTTTTATATAAATAAGAGAACCTATAGCCTAAAATCTTATAAGGAGACATTTCTAAGGGTGAGACTCACAAGATGTCTGGCATGAGAGAACAATAAAATGTGATACAGCATTCCATTGATAGGACACCTTTGTGATATGCATAGAAATATTACCAATTGACAAATAGTCACTGATGATTGGCAGGCTTGTTGATACTTTTGTTACTGACCTAATTTTGCCTTGCTGAAAGGATGCTCATGATTTTCACTGGGTAAGGCCAGTTCTTTAAAATATTTTTTGTTGTGCCTACCTGGAAAAGCAATACATTATACCTTACAAGTAAGGCTTGTGGCATTAAAAACATATATTTTGAAATTTTATAGCCCTTAATGGAAACTCTTCACTAAGCAAAGCATTAAATGTTAACACAACCATGGTCTACTTACTTATCATTAGTTGTGTTCAGTTTTCATATCTTTGCATATCACAAATAATGTCTGAATAATCTCATCTGTGAAAATATCCCTTTATATTGTTGAAATACTAGGATTTTGTACATTTATTCAAGCACATTGGAATCTTCCTCTGAGGAATATGACTTATTTCTATAGAACTAAGATGGGAATTTTTTTCTCCATAGCTAGGTCATGTAGGACACTATACCCTTGACAATTTATTGCATGTAATGTAGGTCCTCTCTCTCTCTCTATATATATATATGTGTAATTAAAACAAGCCATAAAATTGTAGAGTACTACAATTATTAGTTTTCACAGCAACCACTGTGAAATGCACCATCTTATCTCAAAGTCCTGGAGACATTAAGAAATGCCTATTGTATCTTGGGAACCTATATAAGTTTCATAAAACCAGATTTTGAAAATAACCTTAGCAAGAAATGTCCTCCAGCTAGTAATAAAATGGTTACTATTCTCTGCAAAACTAGTAAGAATCATTCTTAAAATAATATGCAGTGTGAAATTTCCAAAACCCAAGGCAAGCCAAAATACTTAAAAATAATACATCAAAATGTTAAATAAAGCAGGATCTCTTTTCTTCACTTTGACTAATGTACCTACGTGATGACCTTGAAAGCCAAGTTGGATATTTTTGAGTTCTTCCAGAACAAGGCAGCATGAGGAGATCCAGCCTCTAGGCTTGCTCCTTCTCTCACTACTCCAGCTCCATTCTACTCACTAGAGGATTCATGTGTATACACATGGATACCCTTGCCCTAGTGTCCAGACTTCAAACTTCCCCCACTGTATCACCACAGTTGTCCTGTGCCTTTCCTTGGGCCACTCTGGTAGGATGGTCTTTAGGTAGTTGCCCTGAATGCTGGCTGGAGGCCACTTAGGGAGGAAATGATAGATTTCTTAGTATTCAGAGTATGGATCAGAACAAGGAGTACATGTACCCATTTTATGGGTAAGGCTACAGTGGAGGAAGACTGGATTGAAATCCACTATAGCCCTGAGCCTACCTGGGACAGGATCCTGTCTTTCCCAGGTCCAAGAACAGAGTGGACTTATAAACATAGATGATATTGACATAATACTGAAAAAGGACCAATGATTCAGTTGATAAAGGAAATTTAATTACATTAAAGAAATACAATGAGGAAGACTAATTCACTGACTTAAAAATGCAATTATATCACAATATTTGTACAGCTTAATAGTACAACCTGAACATTTTTGCTGCTTTTTCTCTTTTTTAAATTAAATCCTCAGGGAGCTTTAGCTTTTTAAGCTCATTTGGTATTTTAGAAACATCCACATGTTTAGTTAAATATCAATAGAAATTTACAGGAAAAAAGCTACAAAATGATATTATTGGGCATTAATTGTTAGATATGCCTCATTTTGCTAGTTTTTAGGGAATGTATATGGTAAATTTGTATGTTAGGTATATAGTTGGTGTATCTATTTTAACAAGATAAACCATTCCAAACTAATACCATAACCATGTGAAAATCAGAAGAGTGAAAAAAGAATATGAAAATTTTAGGGTGGTATGGGTGATAAAACAAAGACAAAACTGGCTCTGAAATGTGTTTTAAAGCTGATTATGGGCATATGTAGAGAACCCGTGACCTCGCTTACATATCTTAGTAGCAGTATGGTAGGCTATCTGAGACTTCATAAGAGTCATTAAGAAGCACTGTAAAATAAAGGAGAAGGATACAGTTGGGTACCAGCACAAAAACAGACATGTAGACCAAAGGAATAAAATAGAAGATCCAGAAATAAGCCTAGAGTTATAGCCATCTGATTTTTGACTAAAGTACAAAAAGCATCATTGGAGAAAAGGCAGCCTCTTCAATCAATGTGTTCAGAAAACTAGATACTCATATGCAGAAGATGAAACTAGATTTCTGTCTCTCTCCTTGTAATAAAATTAATTTAATACAGATTAAAGACTTTAAAGTAAGACTTGAAACTTTGGAACTACTACAGGAAAACATTTGAAGATAGAGGCATAGGCAACAACTTCCTGAGTAGGACATCAATAGCTCAGGAAATAAGAGCAAGAATTGACAAATGGGAATGCATGAAACTAGAACACTTCTGCACAGCAAAAAACAGGAATTAGCCTGAAGGGCCAGAATAGAGCATGGAAGAAAATCTTTGCTAGCTTTTCATCTGATGAGGGATTAATAACTAGAATACACAAAGAATATGAAAAAATAAACTCCAAAAGAATCCAGTTAATAAATGGGCCACTGAATTGAACAAGCAATTCTTTACAGAAGTACAAATGGCCAATTAATACATGAATAACTGTTCAATATCCATGGTCATAGAGGAAATGCAAATCAAAATAGCATTGGGATTTCATTTTGTCCCAGTCAGAATGTCAGAATGGCTATCATGAAGAGCACAAACAACAAAAAATGTTAAGAATTAAGGGCAAAATAGTTTCTGCTGGGTATTGAGGGGGGGAGCGGGAGGGGGTGGAGTGGGTGGTAAGGGAGGGGGTGGGGGCAGGGGGGAGAAATAAACCAAGCCTGTATGCACATATGAATAATAAAAGAAAAATGAAAAAAAAAAAAAAGAATTTGGAAAAAAAGGAGGCTTTTTGGTGGGAATGTAAATTAGTGCATCGACTATGGAAATCAGTATGAGATTTCCTCAAAAAAGGTAAAAATAGAATTACCATATGATCTGTCAATACTACTCTTGGATACACATATCTGAAGGAATGTATGTCAGGTATGTCAGGATACAACAGAGACACTTGCACGCCTATGTTTATTGTAGTACTATTCCCAATATCCAAGCTATGGAATCACTCTTGGTGCCCTTCAACTGATGAATGAATAAAGAAAACAGAAGAATGAATTTATATCATTTGCAAGAAAATGAATGGTACTGGAGATCATCATATTGAGTGTAATAAGCCAGGTTCAGAAAGACAAATAGCGTATGTTTTCTCTCATATGTGAAATCTATACCTAATGTGTGTTTATGTGTAAATACATAAACATGAATGCAAATATAGGACTGTTTTATTGGGGGGACAACCAGGAGGGGAAGAAGAAAAGATAACAATGGGGGGGGTGAATAATATTGAATTACATTGTGTCTATGTATAAAGATGGAATAATGAAACCCACTAAATATTGTTTAAAATAGTGGGGGAAGGGGAATAAGGAAAAGAGAGAGTTAATCTGATCAAAGGGCAATACGTTTATGTATGAAATACCATGGTGAAACCTTTTGTATAATTAATATGTAGTAATAAAACAGGAGTGGCTAGGGTGGTATAAGAAAGAATAATAGAGCTGTAAATATGATCAAAGTAAGTTATATGCATGTGTGGAAATATAGCAATGAAAACCCTTCGTACAATTAATATACACTAATAATAAAAGTGTCAAAAACAACAGGCTGTAAACTAACATATTTTACTCTAAGAAATCTCAAAATATTCAAGAAGACTATAAATCATTATTGATTGCTAGTACAGATTTAGAATATTGATTCAATAGTTCAAACTCTTGATAGACTATTGGAGGGAAAACATGCTCCTTTACAAAGCATCCCTTCATATCATCAAAGACAAAGATTTAGGTTGGATTGTGTTCTCTGTACACACAAAGCACATGCACACATACACGGACATCCTCCTATATTTTTTATGTTTCTTCTCTTCAAAACTGGACATTACTGGTTGATTAAGATAGAATATTAGAAAAGTCATATTACATGCTTTCAAAATTCAGAGGGACTTTCTGATTTTTTAAAATATAAAATATAGTTTTTAATTGACACATAGTACCTGTACATGCTTATAAGGTAGAATATGACATTTTAATGCCATATACAATGATCATGATCAGATCAGGGTAGTTGGCACATATATCACCCCAAGCATTTATCATTTCTATGTATTGGGAACATTTCAAACTCTCTCTGCTAGCTATTTTGAAATGCACAATTGCTCCTTGTCAACCATAGTTATCCCACTGTGCTATGGAACATCAGAAGTTACACCTCTTATCCAACTGTATCCTTTTTTTGTTTTTTTTTTCATTTTTCTTTTATTATTCATATGTGCATACAAGGATTGGTTCATTTCTTCCCCCTGCCCCCACCCCCTCCCTTACCACTCACTCCACCCCCTCCCGCTCCCCCCACTCAATACCCAGCAGAAACTATTTTGCCCTTATCTCTAATTTTGTTGTAGAGAGAGTATAAGCAGTAATAGGAAGGAACAAGGGGTTTTACTGGTTGAGATAAGGATAGCTATACAGGGCGTTGACTCACATTGATTTCCTGTGCGTGGGTGTTACCTTCTAGGTTAATTCTTCTTGAACTAACCTTTTCTCTAGTACCTGTTCCCCTTTTCCTATTGGCCTCAGTTGCTTTAAGGTATCTGCTTTAGTTTCTCTGCATTAAGGGCAACAAATGCTAGCTAGTTTTTTAGGTGTCTTACCTATCCTCACCCCTCCCTTGCGTGCTCTCGCTTTTATCATGTGCTCATAGTCCAATCCCCTTGTTGTGTTTGCCCTTGATCTAATGTCCACATATGAGGGAGAACATATGATTTTTGGTCTTTTGGGCCAGGCTAACCTCACTCAGAATGATGTTCTCCAGTTCCATCCATTTACCAGCGAATGATAACATTTCGTTCTTCTTCATGGCTGCATAGAATTCCATTGTGTATAGATACCACATTTTCTTAATCCATCCATCTGTGCTGGGGCATCTTGGCTGTTTCCATAACTTGGCTATTGTGAATAATGCCGCAATAAACATGGATGTGCAGGTGCCTCTGGAGTAACAGTCTTTTGGGTATATCCCCAAGAGTGGTATTGCTGGATCAAATGGTAGATCAGACAAAGGACTGATAACCAGAATATACAGGGAACTTAAAAAACTAAATTCTCCCAAAACTAATGAACCAATAAAGAAATGGGCATGTGAACTAAACAGAACTTTCTCAAAAGAAGAAATTCAAATGGCCAGAAAACACATGAAAAAAAATGCTCACCATCTTTAGCAATAAAGGAAATGCAAATTAAAACCACACTAAGATTCCACCTCACCCCTGTTAGAATGCCATCATCAGCAACACCACCAACAACAGGTGTTGGCGAGGATGCGGGGAAAAAGGAACCCTCTTACACTGTTGGTGGGAATGTAGACTGGTACAACCACTCTGGAAAAAAATTTGGAGGCTACCAACTGTATCCTTGTACCTGTCAACCATCCTCTCTCTATCCCTTCCCTGGACTGTTAAATTTTTTCTTTGAGACAGAATCTTTCTGTGTAGCCCAGAATGGCCTTGAACTCATGATCCTCCTGCCTCAGCCTTCTTAGTGCTGGGATTATAGGCATGTGCCTGGGTTAATTTTTAATATTTTATTTATTTAAAAATATATGTAACTGGTACATTGCTCTTGAAAATCACGGGACCCACAATGTTTACTTTGAAACTGTTTTAATGTGTTTGAAAGGCTAGTAATACATTTTTTTCTTCTTTTTTTTTCAAATGCAACTACACAGATCATTGCGGCATCATTTGCTTGTTATTGTACCAATATGGAAAACACATATGGATTAGAAGTGGTTGGTCATATTCCAAAAGGGTAATGTAGTCTTTTAAAAATATATTATTTGTTTGATTTTGATACATTAAGGGCCTGGAGAATGGGTGGGTATGGATTTCATTTCTTTTTGTGCCTATAAAAGACAAAATTCTAATTAATTTATATTTTGAATGATAGAAACAAACACAGTAAGTTCCTAGGTGATAAGTTTGCCTATTGTTAAATAAGTTGATAGTTGTTTTATATAGCATCATTTCAGGTAAAAGATTCAGAAGTTATTTACAAAAACACTATTTGATACAAAATCAAGGGCATTTCATTTGAAAATTAGTCATGATCTGGGAATTAGTTTGTCCTATCCTCCCCATATATTGTTATGACTATTTTTATTTCATTTAAATTATGATAAGGATAGGCAAACATATCTCAGATAGCAAGCCCATGGGCCTGGGTAGTGCTTAATGTCAAGAGAGAGGGTAACTGTGAAGGAGAAAGCATGGTTCCCTCCTGCCTATAGATTTTCTCTGGACTCTAGGAAAACATTTAACAAAAGAGGATGTGTTCATCTTAAACAGCAACAGGTTGTTCCAAAAATAGACTGAAAAAAATGAAGGCATTTTAGAGAAATTGAGGGTGTCTTTGTATTCCCTTTTAATGGTGTATATATGCGGACCACCCATACGCATAAATTTGGAACAAAGTTGTTGTTGGGTCCTCTAAATATTTATCTTCTAGACTCTATTTTTGGTTCCTAATTACACTAAAATAGAAGAATAGTAGAAAAATTCCAAGGGATTAAAAAGATAATTTTTAAAATCCTCAGTCTTTATTAACTTATATATAGATACGATGATTGTCTGAATCAGTTTGAACTTTTTTAGAGGTTTCTTTTCTTCACTTTTGAAAGTGAGTTCACTGTTTCTCTTTAGGTCATTTTGTTATTAATTAGAAACACTCAGTTTTCATGAAGCAAAACTTATACTTTGAAATAGTTGCAGTTTTGTGTAGTACATATCTTAAGACCTGCATTCATAAATATTATTTTTTCTTGGGGGCAAACTTTAGTATGTGGATAAAAAATCATGCCTCTTTTCCATCCCCTCTAATTTCTCCCTTTTTAGTGACTTTTCCAGAAACATCCTCATCCTCTTAAGGGCTCATAACATGAACTTGGCTTTGAAAAGAGATGACACTGAGATTGAATCCCTGCTCAGCCATTGTGTTCATGACTTTAGATGAGTTACCTAATCTTCCCCAAAGTTTTTCTCCTCCCTACAGTGGTTATAATTGTGCTTAGTTTAGGGATTGTTGGGAGAATTAAATGAAATCGTTAAAAAGAAAATGTCAACATTATAGTTATATACTAGATATTAAATCAATATGAATTCACTCCATTTTTCTTCTATTTTTGCCAGAGGGACTTTTTGTTGTTTTGTTTTGTTAAGTCTTCCAAAGAATCAAGGATACATAAATGAGGAAACTTTGTCTTAAGTGATTTTCAGATGACTGTAAAACAATGGCTGGGTATTATTTGAGAAACATTTAAAACAATTATTTGAAAGGGAGCTAAGTGTTGTCATATATTTTGCAACAGAGAGTAGATGGACTCTTTTATATATTTTTCTTAACATATGGAAACCATAGTTAAGTGTACTGTGAAAGCAGCAAGTAAAAAAATTAAGATAATGAACTCAATGGCATATTTGGGATTAGTTCAAGAACTGTAGCTAACAGTAAGCTAGTGTTTGCATGCAGAATTGAAAAATTCAAGGGAGGAAATACAGTCTCCAATGCCAGTCAAATAAAAATTTGGAAAGGTTCAAATGAAAGAACGTTCCAGATTTGCTTTTGTTTCTGATACAGGAAATTTTTGTAGAGTCAGAGTTTCTGTGGTGTAACTTGAACTCCCTGGGGATAAATGCCAGTTAGATGCATGGAACTGGCACTGTCCCTGTGGTGTGTCTCACCATTTTGATTTTTCTGCTTTATAAATAATGTTAAAAACAAAGGGTTTCTCAGGGCAAGGCTGCTTGATTTTCTCATGGGTATTTCACTTACTCTATGTAAACGTCAGACTTGTTACCACAGTTGAATTCATTGCAAGTTGTTACAGAAATGACACGAAGGTTGATGACTTCAATATGGTTTTTCTTTCCACAGAATTCCTCCACCTAGAGTTCCCCCAATGAACATTCTCTCTGCAGTAGTTACTGAAGCTTTTGGAGTGGCACTTGTAGGCTATGTGGCCTCACTGGCTCTTGCTCAAGGATCTGCCAAAAAATTCAAATATTCAGTTGATGACAATCAGGTGGAGTGTGCCCCCAGCCCCTCTCCACCCCGTTGTGCCATTGTTCTATATACTTTCAGATATTGAAAATGCTGAACCTTTGAAAAATGTAACTTTTCTAAGTTCTTGCCAGAATGGATAGAACAAAATAGAATAAAGATCTGTTATTTATAGAAAGCTGAAAATACCACTTTTATGATTTATAATATTTATTTTTAAGAAAGAAAGACATCTTTATTTATTTATTTATATTGTTGTGCTGGTGGGGGTACATTGTGGCATTTATAAATGTTCTTACATTATATCAAATATATCATAATTGAATTCAACCCTCCACCATTCTCCTTTATTCCTCCCTCCCACCATTCCTGGGATAGTTTCTACAGGTATCATTTTTCCATTTATAAACATGTGTACACAGTATTTGCACCATATTCCTCATCCCTCTTCCTACTGGTACAACCCTCCCAGGCAGGACCTGTTCCATTCTCCTGTTCTCCAATCTTGTAAAAGAGAAAAAATGACATTTTTGCTTGTACACAGGGAGTTTCCTGTGGCACTTCCATGTATATGTGTATTGGTTCATCTCCTCTTTTTTTCTTCTGAAAGACACCTTGATGTCCTTTCTTTTTCGAAGAGAATCCAAATATCTTTATTATTGCATGCTAACTTTTAAAACTTATGGATGTCAAAGTACAACACAAGTATTAGCTACTTATTTTGGTAAGAGACTACAGAATGTAAAGGGCTATGCTAGAATACCCAAGGATGCAGAATATACTACTTGTATTTCTGAATATATTTCTCCCAGTTTCTTGCTTCAAAGCCCATGGACCTAGAGAGCTATATAGGTCTAAAGAGATAGCTCAGTGAGTGATTATGAATGCCACAAGGCCTGAGTACAAGTCACACTCTAACATTACCTGACCCTTATTCCCTCTGTGCTCCAGTTTTCTCCTTCATAAAAAATAGAATTATTCATTCGATGTGGTGTATTGAGCCCTACAATGTTCCAGACATTGGTCTAGGTACAAAGGATGCAACAGTGGACAACACAGAACATATCTTTCCTTCAGTCAAAACTTCCCAATGGCTTCCTTCCATAGTCATATTAAAAACTTCATTGTGCCAAGATATTCAGGAGGCAGAGGTAGGAGGACCATGCTCTGAGGCCTGCCCAGGAGCAAGACCCTATCAAAAACAACCTAAAGAGCAAAAAGGGCTGGGGGCACGGCTCAAGTGAGAGGGCATGCTCTAGTAGGTGTGAGGGCCTGAGGTCAAGCCCCCACGTTCCAAAACACTGAGTATCAACAAACTTCATTCTTTGACACATTTTACTTGATCTTTGAAAGTTGATTGTGATCAAGAAATGATGCATTCTCCTGTTATCAATCTTTCAGGAATTTTTGGCCCATGGCCTCAGCAACGTGATTCCTTCATTTTTCTTCTGCATACCAAGTGCTGCTGCTATGGGACGGACTGCTGGCCTGTACAGCACAGGGGCAAAGACACAGGTAACCCACTTGCTCAGCAGGGACCAAGGAACTGCTGGGCCTCCACTCCCCTTCTTGGAGAGCAGAGAGCGCTTCTCTGTAAAGTCCTGAAAACATTTCTGCTACTTAAAGTTTTTCTAAGTATCTTCTAAGAAGTATTCCCTCCCCCCTCATTCTTCCCCCTTCTCTCCTTGCCCTCCCCTCACCTAGTTCCTATGACTGGCTCTTCCAGAGGCTGAGTGACTCCCTGAACAAGCTGATAAATTCTGTACAGATGCCCCCTTTAAGGTTAGCAACCTTTGAAGCCAAAGCTCCCTCTAGTGGTGCCTCTGACTTATATCCATTAATCTAAACACATTTTCTATTTTGTTTATTTCCTTTATATAAAATAAAATCAACTATATGCAAAATCATTCCTTGGCACTGAAATTCCTATTTGTAATGATGTACAAAGGTGGCAATGTGGCATGATTGTTCTATACTTGAGGAAAGTCAGATCAATTCAGCATTTACCTAGAACCTGTCATTACACCATGCCATATGCTGGGAACTCGTAACATGATGATTATTATGGTGGTGGTAGAAATGTTGAGTTGTCAGGTATTGCATGTGGTACTTTTTATTCAAATGAACTCACTTAATCCTTTTGACCACCCAATGAAGGAGATATAATTATTGTTTCCAGTTTCTACATGAGAAGGCTAAGGAAAAAGGGATGAAATAATTTACCAGGATTGCTGGCATTTCAACTGAGATAGCTTCACTCCAAGGCTTGCACTCTTAACCACTGTTCCATGCAAGAAAATTCATCCATATTTTTATAAAAGAAAGCAATAATGATTGATAACCATTATTAATAACCCATGTTTAAATTAGAAATTTTATGAGAATTTATAAAATATTTTATATTCTAGTTCAAACATTTATTAGGGGCCTAAACTATACTAAACACATTTCTTAGGTGGCAGAACATTAAATTTGAAAAGTATATGGCTTGAGATCTTGTGGAAGAGTGGCAAGGGAAATATGGGAAATAGATACCAAAGTATGGCATAAGACTAATAAAAAGTACCATGGAGCTGAGGGGAAGCACATTCAATTTTGAATGTGTTAACATTTGACAAATAATTGCTACACCTTGTCAACTAAGTAGTGAAACCCACATGCAAGCTTAGTTTGCATGACACCAAGTATTTGATGATGTTTTCATAGTTAGTGACTTCAAGCAGAGGTCTATCATGTGCACCTGCACGGACATTTTTGCCACTGTACTCTCAAGTGTTTGTGGTCTAACTTTGGATGTTTAAATTTGTAGTGTACTTAAATATCATCTTTTACTTACTGTGAGGACTCTTCTCTCTCTAAACTCTAGTATCCTATTGTAGATTTCCCCTAGTTTCTTATGAAAATGAGAATATTAGACTTTCTTTTCAAATAAAGGCTCAATAAACACAGTAAGTGGGCAAGGGCATGAATTCTAGAGCCCGGACTGGTATCCAGTTGGTTGACTTTGAACAAGTAACTCAATCCCACTAACTTAGGTGGACTCAGCTGTTAACGTAGGATTACAATATTAAAAAACTTAAACGAGCTAATTAATACATGCTTGAAAATCAATGCCTGAAACATGCAATACCTGAAAATCAAATTAATGCCTTTTATATGTTAATGCTAAGGCCAGGCCCAGTGGTGTCTCACGCCTGTAATTTCAGGTTCATGTGAGGTGTAAGTAGGAGGATGTAGTCCAGGCTCATCTCAGGCAAAAAAATAACCTATTCAAAAAATAACTAAAGCAAAAAGGGCTGGGGGTGGGCCTCAGGTGATAAAGTGCTTGCCTAACAGATTTGAGGCCCTGAATTTAAACCTCAGTAGTGTCCCAAACATGTTAGTGATGGGTAATCACTAATTTAATTATTTTTATTGAGTATTTTAAAGTAAGAAGATATTTTTTTGTTTAACATTTAATACTAAAATGCTCTGGATTGATTAGGATGGAGCAAGACATTCTTGCAGTCCCAGTTGGCTCCTAAAATTTGCTCAGGGCTCTTGAGGTAGCAAGTTAGCATGGTCATTTGTCATAGGGATAGAGAAGGTTGAACTCAAATGTGTTCCATCTCTGGAGTTTCCTTAGGCATCTACATACTTTTCTAATTACCATTTTCGTAACAAGGAAAACTTCTTATTAATCTTCGTAACTTTCAACATGGTATGACTAAGAGAAAGAAGACTTTGAGAAAGCTTGTACTTACTTTAAAATCTGAGTTGGTCATAAATTTGTTTAATAAGTAAGGCAGGGATAGTGGGATGTTCTTTATTCTCTATTCTGAAGGCCACACATTTGAATAACTAGAACAGAACTTTTCTAAGGACTTTTTATTAATAGAGATGATTTTTTCCTGCATGGTATTCTATTCATCAAACTTCAAAAGAAATGAAAGAAATTTAGCAAAACACTTATTCAGGGAAAGAAAACTTAGTATCAGATATTTTCAAGATATCCTGCTTATTGAGAAGGTCATTAATCTAATGGCTCCCACTTAAGTTGGGCAGGTAAAGAATCTGATTTAATAATGTATACTCAACTCAAGGATAGCTTGCCATAGGAGTAATTTCAGACCTTTAACATTGCAACTGTTAAGTTTGTATAGGAATAACAGACAATTGGCATAGTTTGCAGAGCTCTCTAGACAAGCCAAATCTTTAAAGTTCTGCTCTAAATAGGCTATTTGTGAGAGCATTTTTCTATGAGAATTGATTTCACAAATCAACCTCTTAATGGCTCTGTCTCCTACAGACTAGACTTATACTCAATAAAAGATCTTAGAAGGCATAAAAACCCCTCAAGTTCTAAGCTACTGACAACCCATCACAGCACTAGTGGTAACCACATTACACTTAGTAATTAATTTGCCTGCTGACACATTCCCATTTTATGCTACAGTATTTCTGTAGAGTTTATATTGTAAACATAACTGGAGGTGAGGTTCAGTGGCAGAGAACTCGCCTAGTATGCTCAGAGACCTGGGTTTGATCCCTAGCACTATGAAGCAACAACAACAACAACCAAAAAAAAAAAAAAAAGAGGTATCTTTTTAGCATGCAAATCTGATCATGTTATTTCTGCTTAAAGTCCAGAAAAGACTTTGCATAAGTCTTAGAATTCAGATCTTTGTGTTGCCTACCAGGCTCTGAGTGTTTCCTCAGTGGACTCCATTGCCTTTGGGGCTGTCTTCCTCTTTTCCTTTAAGCTAATTCCTCCCAGCCTTCAGAGTTCTGAAGGCTGCTGTTTCTGGGCCAATTATGTTCATTTTCTTCAGTGTCATGAGCAGTCCTTGACAGTGTTGATTAGGTGATCCTATGATCAATGACTGCTTTCTAATGTTGACTTAAAGCTGCTAGAGAACATGACTCTGTCTGCTTTGGTTTACAGTAGCCTTGCTGTTTACCTTGCTGTTTAGCCTGGTATGTTGTAGGTGCCGAGTCACTATGTATGGAAAGAATGAATGAGAAATGAAAGCAGTAAAAAATTATAAAAGAAGACCACAAGTTTTGCTGATATTAGAAGGACAGATCAGGCCAGGCAGCTTTTATTGTCATTTGAGATAGTACATTTAAAGTTGGGAAAATCTCACTTAAAACCAGGCTTAGGATTATATACTTTACTGAAGTACTACTTAATAATATGAGCTGCCCAGGTAATTAAAATCACCTAGTAGTCACATTTTTTAAAAGTAGAAGAAATTGGTGTTAGGCATGTTAGTTCATCATACCTGTAATCCAAACTACTTGGGAAGCAGAGATAGGAGGATTATGGTCCAAGGTCAGACCAAAACTAACTAAAGCAGAGATAGGAGGATTATGGTCCAAGGTCAGACCTAAACTAACTAAAGCAAAAGGACTGGCTCAAGTGGTAGAGCACTTGCTAACAAGTGCAAGATCGTAAGTTCAAATTCCCCTGAAAAATAGAAGAAACTGATAAGAATTATTTTTAGTACTCTAATTTACTCAACAGAGTAAAATATTATCATTTGAACATAGAATTTATTTAAAAGTTATTTACAATATTTTTCTATTTTCTTCCTGTTGTGTATTTTCTGTTGTGTATTTCCTGTGCTGTACTTCTCTGGTGTGTATTTTGTATTTTTTGTCTATTTCAATATGCACTAGCCACACTTTCAGTGCTCAAAATTCACAGATGACTATATTGGGTAGTAAATTTAGGAGCATTTTACACAAACACATAGAAGGTGAAGCCTTTCAATGGTTTGAGAATCAAATCAAAATGTATTAATAGGAGTAACAAACAATAGTGATTATTTAATAGCAAGTTCTGTGGTCAGAGACTTAGACACATCTATTCTCCACATGTAGAAATCCTTTCTACAGTGGTTCCCTTTACATGTGACGTTTAAAGCCTGTGTCTAAGAAAGGCCTTTAGAAGAATAAGGAAAGTTTGGTGCTACCTAGACAAATAGCACAAAGGAATACTGTGTGTTTTCCTTCCCTTCTTCCCTCTAAGCCAGAATGTTCACTACAGGAAGGAGCTCAGAGTCCCCTGCTCTCTCCTGCATGCTTCTCTTCATTTCCAATGGAGGAGAAACAGCAGTGCTCTGCAGGGACTTCAGGAAGCCCAGTGGAAACATGAAGGATGCCAGGCAGCATCTGCTGCAGAGGCAGCACAGCCACAACTGAAAACAGCAGCTGGCAGATTTCTCTGCCACGCTGAGATTGCCTCTGGGTTCTAATTTGCCAAACTATATTCCTTTATTCTTTCAAAATTTGACTCATGGCTTACATCTCCTTTAAAGCCTTCTTAATTTAGCCTTTGTTATTCAGTGCCTTCCCTTTTTCCCCCCTCCTTTCTGACCTTTTCCATCTTTTGCATCATTCTACTACTTGCTATAGGGTTTTACATGTAGAAAGCTTTCAACCTACTTTATGTCCTTTGACAACTATCTAGGAAGAACCACAATTGGAATTGCACTCTTTCTCCAAACAAATATAAGTGTGGCTATAGAGAACACTGATGCCTGCATGGTCATCCTTATCAGTAATAAGCAACTTTCTCTCTCTAAATATGTGTGTACATGTGTGTGTGTGCATGTATGTAATTTGAGAATGAAGTGAGAAGAAAATATAGATTTCACTAACTTGTATGTAAAATTAACTCTTCAATGTGACTAGTTATAATTTCCAAACAAAAATTATCTTTAAATATTTAGTTAGCATGACATGGAAAGAGGTGAAGAGTAAAATACCTAGACAGTGGTTGTCCTATGGATAATTAAAGGTGGGAACTCCTACCTTACTAATTATAATCTAAAATCTACTTGAAACTTATTAAGAAGGAGTTAACTTAAGTTTTCTTAGATTAAAAAGGACTAGGTTAAACATTATTTAGAGAGAAGCTTAAATGTAGTTACATTTCATTGTTTTTAAGTAGTTGGATTGTAATTTTAATGTCAGCTTTAGTGTATTATAATATATCTAGGAACCTTAAAATGTGCTTGAGTTTTTACTCAAAAGTGTTGCTTTGAAAATCTCTTAGTGTGTTGTAGAAACCAGAAAAGCCAAGGAGCTGCCTTTCTTTGACCACCATCACACAGTGCTGTGGGCCACTTTGTGTTTGCAACCCCTCCATTACCAGTGCAGGAAATCGAATGAACCACTTTAACATTAGAGCCAACTTTTAGAATTTGAAGGATGATGAATGTCCTACATTGATTTGAGGAAAAAAGACAAGCTATTAATACAGTGAAACACCACAGAAAAAGTAAACAGATCTTTCGAAATTAATGTGTGTATATTCATGTAAATAAGACTATAACCAACATTTTAAGCTATTAAAAATAGGTTTCCACTTTACCTTTTGTCGTGATACTTGTATGTCATGTTTTTTTAATGAAAGAGAAAGAGAGAAAACAAGAGAGAGAGAGAGAGATATCTTTGCTTAGACTCTGCAATTTCCTAATTTAAATCCTGTTTTCTGCTGTGCAATGAATGTCCACACCTTCCTGCTAACACCTAGAGTCCTACTATCTTTCACTTTTGTAGGAGATAGAATTATTTCCAATACATAAGATTATGCCAAATTAAACTTTAACTTAAAAATGAGTGAATTGATCTATAAATAACTGCTTGTATTTTTAATGGTTAATATGTACATGCTAGAGTCAATGAAAAGGTCAACTCAAAGAAATTTAAAAAATACATTTGATTTTCATAAATCTCATGCAGCACACATTTCATGTTCCCTTCATGCCTTTTTAATCCCCTAACTCTGGGACAAGTCACAATGCCTTTCTGTGTCTTAGATCCTTCCAAAGAACTTGACTCCAACGTTTTCATTTCAGCATCTAAAATTGAGGGTTTTATTTTTTGGCATAGTGAAAGTGTAAGGGTAAAAAAAATCTCACAAAAGGATGCAAACTATTGTTTTTTGTCTTGAAACAAACCTTAGCAGTTAGTGTCTTTTTTGCTCTCCATATCATCATGGGTTTACTGAGTCATTTACTGGGCTAGATCCTGTGATTTGCATCCTGACACCTAGCTCTTTCCAGGCTAGAGGAATGTCAGTATGGAGTACTATAACCTCTTTTTTATGGACAATCATTGATAACATTGATTTATTTCCCATATAAGAATTACTTTCCACTTTATACCAGCTGGGATGTATGGTTAATAAGGCCTACTAAATATGGCAGTGACAACAAAATTCTTCATTCTCTGACTACATGGAAAAGCTTGTTCCAATGTTCATTTGAATGATTGCCTAGCTGAATAATTATACTTGCTGCCATCCATTCCCTCTCCTCCACACATATGTCTTTTAATGATACTAGATTCAGGACTAGTCCCCATGCTGGACAGATATGTGATGGAAGCAATGACTACAGATCCCTTTTCCAATTCCCTTTTCTTAAAATCAGGCTTATGGAAGTAAATTTAGCTATAGTAAAATTCACCCCTTTAATGAATAGTTTACTTTATTTAGAAAAGTATATTGTTGAATATCCACAAACAAAAGATACAAAACATTTCTGTCACTCCTCAAACCTTTCCCATGCCTCTTTATATTCATTTCTCCACTCTTACCTCTAGTATCTGGTTTCATATAATTTTTCTTTCTTTTTTTTTTTTTTTAAAGAATGTCATAGATAAGGCTGGCAGAGTGGCTCAAATGGTAAGAGTACCTGCCTAGCAAGTGTGAGGCCCTGAGTTCAAACCACAGTGCTGCCAAAAAAAAAGAAAAAAAAAAAAGAAAGAAGAATGTCATTGATAAATAATCTTATAGCTTTTTGTGTCTAGCTACTTTCACTAACTAATGGTTTTGAATTCTATCCATGTTCATTTTTATTACTTAGTAGTATTTTATTCAATGGATGTGTCATAATTGATCTATTCACCATTTGGCAGACATTTCAGTATTTACATGTTTTGGTGTTTGTGAATAAAGGTGCTACAAACATTTACATATCAATATTCATTCACATGGACATGTTTTCCATTCCTCTTAAGTGATCGGGATCTATGGTAAGTGCATATCTAAGTCCATAAGAAATAGCCAAACTGTTTCAAAATGGCTATAAACATATTGCCTTCCCAAGTTGTTCTGAGTCCTTGACTGCTCTTGAATTTATTTATTTATTTTAAGTGTAAGCTATTCCAGTAACTCCAAACTCCCTTTGATATCTTCATAATGGTGTTCTAGGCATCTCTGTGTCTCATGAAAGGTCTTTTCTCTTCTTAGGATAACAGCTTGGCCAAATGTTTTTACGAAGTTAGGAACATTTGCTTCTCAAGTTGTCTATCAAGCAGATCATAGCTGAAAGAGCCAAATGTTTTAAATTGCCTTCATCAGCAGACTGAGTGGGTTAGAACATGACACCAAAGACTTTCCAGGATTAGTAATATCAAATCTGTTGCAATGCCAGAGTTGCTCCTATAATCCCATATAACCATTTCATATCACACTTACCCACTCATATTACCCACTTATGAACAAAGAACTCTAAAGACAAGAGTGAGTGCTTCAGTAGAAATTTTCCATCAGCACAGAAGAACCCTAAGGGCCATATTCAGTTATTATCCACACAACCTCCCACTAAACAAGGAGGAAGTCAGGCTAAATAACAACAGGTTAAAGAAATTTTCACTGAAATGTCATTGTCACTATTCAACTAAAAAAGCCATTGCTGTGATGTGTGATAAAAGTTGATGGTGTCCTATTTCTTTCTGTGGAATTACTTTTCTCTCATCACTGACTTAATTTAATTGTACCAGTTTGTCAGCTGTCACATTTGGCTTCTCTCAGCTGTGAAATATAGATTATGACTGTCTATGCAATTTAACAATGATGTGCCCATACTTTGTTTCTTCTAATCAGATGTACTAAGATTTATAACCCCCACCACCATTCATAGCTTTGAAATAACAAAAAAATTCAAGGCTTTGTTTTTTGTCTGTCTTGTATTTTACAGGTGGCTTGTCTAATATCTTGCATTTTCGTCCTCATAGTCATCTATGCAATAGGACCTTTGCTGTACTGGCTGCCCATGGTACAGTAGTGCTTTTCACTATCTACTTTTTAACTTTACTTTTAATGAAAGTCATTGTGTTTGAATATCTTAGTAATGTAAATCCAGTAATCCTGAATCTGAAAACCATCTTGCATAAGTAAAGGTGAACTGTGAAGAGGGGTGCAAAGAGACCATCCTTGATGAGAGAGGCAGAGGAGGTTACCATGGCTATCCTCTAATTCTTCATCTTGCTTATAAAAGTGTCATTGTGGGACCACTGTTATTCTGTGTTTATTTGGAGGGTCAAACTAGAAATATTCTGCTATAAAAAGTAGACTCCAGAAGCTGGGGGTGTAGCTCAGTGATAGAGCACTTGCCTAGTATGCATGAAGCTCTGGGTTTGATTCCTAGCTCTGCAAAAGAAATACTGCTGGGGCAAGGGAGTGGGGAACAAAATACATATTTCTACCCTTGATGCACCTTTTATACAGTATGACTGAGAGTATTAGTATCAGTGGTTTACCTCACCCTTCATAAATCTAAGGCATTGAATGACCCAAGTTAAGATGCTGGTCTTAAGAGAGCTGGTTTCAGTACCTTGTTGTTGTAATTCTTCATTTATACAGTGAGTATAAATCATTTCCACAGGCTGATCACCCAATAATCAAGTTCATTTTTCAAAAGAGTTACAAATATCTGCAGGTGAAACTAGATAATTCATATTCAAGACAATTATAAAAATATAAGACATTATTATGTAAGTTTTGTAACTAACACATCGTAAGCCACTGACAGTAAATAATTATGGTTGAAGGAACATTTAGCCTATGATATTCACCACATTTTCTTTCTTTCTGTCTTGCTTTTAGACTTGTATATGATTTGCCCTGTGCTTTCCTAGAAATATTATATTCCTACAATAATAAGTAAAAAATATTACTTTAGTTTCTAATTGGTGACTACATTTCTCTAGTATTTACTTTAAAAACAAAACAAAGAAAATTCCTTGGTCCTTTTAAATTCAGTTAAAATCTTTAACTTGCTTCTTCGTGAACTTTATTTTTTATTTATAGTGTGTTCTTGCAAGCATTATTGTTGTAGGACTGAAGGGAATGTTAGTACAGTTCCGGGATTTAAAAAAATATTGGAATGTGGATAAAATCGATTGGGTAAGTAGAAATTTGACTGGGCATTTTCCTCTTTGGCTTAAGCACATATTATGAAATATACTGTAATATTTTTATTTGCAGAAAATAGATTTATCCCATTGAGACTTGTACACTTTACAAAATGCCAGTATAGTTTTCAAAATTTTAATGAAAGTATTAAAATATCAGTTGTCCTTATAAGAGACAAATAGAATTTTGTCAAATTTTGATGACTATGTAGTTTGAAAACTTTTAAAGATTTCTAACTAATTTGAGTATATTGGGGATGCCCAGTTTACATGATGTATTGATTCTGAAAGCAACACTCATCCAGGAAGTATACACTAAGAAATATGATATTTTATAGTATGTATAGAAAACTCAGCATTAATATGTACAGAAATATAGTTAGTCTTTTAATGGCAGCACATTCATTCTAAATACAAAAGTCTTATGAATTGTCTTATATAAAAGTGGGTTACAAGGAAGGGGGATTATATTACTAGGATATTGGTAGGAACAGATTAAATTATACTGAAGAATGATGCTAGCAGAAATGTTTAGCATATTTACATTTTAGAGAACCCTATCTATAAAATAGCATCCCAAATCCTTTCTCTTTCCAGAGAGAGGTACTCTCTTTAACAAGTACCCTCTGTTTTGCTCTACTATGGGATTCATCAAAGTATAGTTATCTATGTTTTCTCCCTTTGTTTACTTGAAACTTTAGATCTTTTGTTACTGGAAACTTTGAAGGATTAGTTTTACTGCTGTCTACTTTCATAATAGTCCTCCTGAGGCTTGATATTACTGAGCTCCTACCAGAATATAATGCTGAGTGCCATGAAGAATGTATAACTGAATAACTACCTACTCTTCCCAGACACTTACCAGGTGTGCTGGCAGCAGACACAGAAACTTTTAACTTATGCAAGCATGGTAAAACATGACCTGGAAGTAAAAGTACAAGCTTAGTGCTGGTGAAAAATAGGGAAAGGAGCATTAATTTGTACTGGTTAATATGAAGGACTGTCACAGCAGAGCTGAAATATGAACTGACACTCAAAAGAATAGTATTTAGTAGGCAGGTCAAGAAGCCACAATTAGCCAGGCTAAGAGATGATCACAGCTTTTGTTAAGGTGGTATATATGAAGTAGTTCATGAAAATAAAAGAATGAGAGGATGTCAACTTCTTCAGCAAAGTTCTTGATAACATTGTGAAGGTATTTGTAAGGAACTCAATAATCACATAGGAGGAAGTGTGTTTTGATATTGAGAGGGAGAAACAATGTCAGGGGAGGCATTGTCTAGGAAGTGCTTCCTAGGATGAGGACTGAAGAATGAATAGATACCATTTGGGGAAGAGAGAAAGAGAAGACATACAAACATACAGAGATGGGTATGAACATGTCTGGCTCTAAACATCAAGGTGTTCAGCACAGATGGAACATACAGGTGAGGATGGTAATAGTGACAGGTGAGGTTGGAAAAGTTATAATGGGTTATATAGAGGTGACCACTTATGTCCCTCAAGATTGTACTTTATTCTGAAGACAGCAAAGCATCACTGAAAAGTAAATAGGAATAAGATTTCTGTATTAGAAAGATCACTAGAGAAATTTTAGAAAGATGGAGAAGAGCATGGATCAAGACTGATGGATTATATAGCAATTGGAGTACTGCTTTTAGTAATTCAGCCTTGGAAGGCCAAGGCTGAGACCATGAAGTATGAGAGGAAAAAATAGAGCTGAAAATTGGTAAAGCGGTTGAATCATTCAGTGTTCACCACCACTTCATGCTATAAAGTGGATGCCTGAAATGATGTCTAAGTTTGTAGTTAGGAACATCATGGGGGGAAGAAAATAGCATTCATTGAGTTATAGAAAATATGGAAGATTCTCTTGTTGAAATGAATTTAGTGGTTACCTTTAGTCTTACAAAATACATGTTCTTTTTCCTGAGGTATTCACTTTATCTTTTAAATTTCTTTTCCCATTGCCAAGTAGTCTTCCAAGAAACAACTTGTGTTTTATATTACCTGAGCTATTTCATTTTGAAAATTTTGATCTTTTTTATACAATAATGAAGTTTTTGGCTGGATCTAAAAATACTTTCTTTCAGGACCTTTTAGACTTGGGATTATCTTTAAATCTTGAAGAACAAAGCAGGGAAAACAGAAGTCAACATTATTTTTTGTTATTTTATGCCAGTTTATTCTTTTAAATAGTCAATGAATTTCTTTCTTCCTTCCAACAAATTTTGGTAATATTATCAGACTCTTTCTGTGGTTTAGGCTCCAGTATCAAATTTCTATGAATTTTTGATCTCAGAATCAAGAATTATCTACAAAATTTCTTCTAATATATCAGGGAATATTTTTCAAGTTTATGTGATTTGCTGTCTTCTTCATGAACTTGAATTTGATAATTCTACTTTCTCTTCCTTCATGTCTATTTATTTTGCTATGATTATTTTGTATTTCCTTATATGCAGTTTGAATTATTCAGTATATTTCTGATTACTTTTTGTGAATATTCTACTTTTCATTTTTAAATACTGCTTTCATCTGTTTTATTTTTATTTATACTCAATTTATTTCCTAAATTTTTCTAGATTGCTTTTTAATCTCATTCAGCTTTTCATCCTCTTTTTTTTAAAGTGTTTTTTTCTTTGAATATTCATGTCTTTTTATTTTTGGTGGGCCAAAATATCCTCAGGATTTCCTGCTTACAAAGCTCTCCCATGGGAGTCATACCTCTAGTCTATTTTGTTCTGGTTATTTTGGAGATGGTGGTCTTATGAACTCTTTACCTTGTCTGGCTTCAAATTGTGATCCTCCCAATTTCAGACTCCCAAGTAGCTAAGGTTACAGGTGTGAGCCACCAGCACCTGGCTCATATGTCTTTTTGAGAGGTTTTATTATTTTTTTTAATGCTTATTACATGGCCTGATCTATTTTCTGTCTGTATTTCATGCTTCTCTTTTTTTGTTTCTTCCTTTCTGTAAATAGATCTCTTGATGATGTCTTTAGGATTATAATGCACTTTTTAGTGGACCTAGCTATTTGCTGAAAAATAATGTAGGAATAGCAGGAGATAGGAAGTGGCTAGAGCAGCCCGCAGTTCTGATTTAAGTATGTCACCTGAAGATGTGTCCCTAGATGAAGCAAAGCTTCAAAAATCAGAGGTTTTCTAGTGACATGGCACTGGCTTACTCTTCATTCTTCTTTTTGCTCAAACTGTAATAGTGTTTTTCTGTTAGAACACTGGGTTGTAAATGACACCGATGGCATTTAACTTTCCCTGAATTCTGTGGTATCAAATAAATCTCTACAGGTACATTTCCCATTTTTCTGGTGGCCCAAACTTGGCAAAGAACTTAGAAGCTCTTGCTCCAAGAAGTTCTTATCAAGAAGATTATTGTATATAATTCTCAAGATTTTTATGTTTACACCATAATCTATAATTGAACTCTTTGAATAAATTGTTGGCTTTCAGCATCTTCCTTGATTATCATCCAAATTTCACAGTATTTGGCAGGTCTATATCTTATTTTGTAGTATTAGGGGCTTGTGACCATGTTCTTTTTTTCATCAAAGTTTTTTTTTTCCTTTTCTAGATTCTTTTTTTTCTTCTTTTGGTAGTACTAGGGATTGAACTCAGGGCTCTGGCACTTGCTAATCAGGTGCTCTACCACTTTTTTTCCATGGCTGGCCTTGAGCCGTGATCCTCCCAATTTCTTCTTTTCCAGTAGCTGGAATTATAGGCATGATTACAGGCATGAGCTACCACACCTGACCTTAGGTTCTTTTTAATATTTTTTGCCTTGTGTTAATATAAAGGAGTAGAGTATAAATTCCTTTACAATTCCATCTAAACCTGACTTCAAATCTATACATAAGAGAGGTCTGTCAAATGATTAAAATTCAGATAACAAAAGCAACACATTAAGTAGGACGCTGTTAATTTAGATAAGGTATAATAGTAAAGTGTGAAATAAGGCATCATCAAAGAATTCAGAAAAAGATGTGGACAGATACTTTTGATTAATAAATTATAGGGCCTGGAAAATTACTAGATGAGTAGGCGGAAGAGTAAGATATGACTCCAAAATTTCTGATTATAGTGTATTGAAGAATATTATTTTTTAACTGAGGGAGAACATTGGAGGAAGGGCAACTTTTGGGATGAAGTTAATGAGTTTGCCCGGTGTATTGAGTTTGAAGGTGTTTTATGAACAATTTGAAAAAATGGTTTAAGATTTTGAAACTGGTAGTCTAATGTTTGGAATTGATACTTGAAAACTTAGAGTAACTGGAAATATGGTACGGACAAAGATTAAGTTGAGAAAGGTGACATGGACATAACAAGTGCATTCATCTGGTTATATCTATTGATGATTCAATGGGGCATTGGATTAGCTTGCCAATGACTTCCTATGGTTGGTATATTAGCCATACTGTTGTCATTGTGACAAGATTACTGACATACACAATTTAAAAGGAGAAAGGATTTATTTTGGCTTGGTTTCTAAGGTATTAGTCCACATGACTGGGAGGGTATAGAGGAGCACAACTGCTCACATCATGGTAGCCAGGAAGCAGACAGAGAAAATGACTGCTAGCTGGCTTTCTCATTTTCCTCTTTTTATTCCATCCTAGCCCCCAGCCTATGAGATGGTGCAGATCAATTCAGGGCAGGTCTTCCCCTTTAGTTAATTTTCTCTGCAAATGCCCTCAGAGACATACCAAGATCTGTGCTTTTCTAATCGCCAATCAACCAAGTTAACAACCAAGATTAGCCATCACTGTTGAGGTGGATAGGTATCTCTTAGCTGTTAAGGAATTCAACAGTGAAAAACCATAGATCATTGGGAATAATATGTGGACTAAGAATATTGCACAGACTGGGATATAAGCTATATTACCCAGTAGACATAATATATCTAGATTACTCAACAGATAGAATATGTCTGTTCTATCATGGAAACAAAATTACCAAAGTTGTGTGTATGTGTCAAATAAGTTGAGGGTTTAAAATTTAAAAATCAGGTCTGTAGTCTTTTCATGAAAAATCGAAAACTTCTCAATCCTTTCATATTTTATAGTTTAATATTGATTCTATTTTGAGTTGTAGGTCAAAACCCTCTTCAATGTAATGAAGAAATAGAAATCTAAATGGTAATTGAGTTTGAGTAGCTAAAGAGATCAATAGAAATTTAATTGTATGGATCTTTCCCAAATAGATAGTCTTAACAGTTCAGGGAAAGGTGAGGTCATTCACTAGCTGCTAAACTATGATTTCCATTGTCACATTTTCTATAAAGAACAAGAATTTAGGTGATCTTTACTTACGGTCAAATTTAGAGTTATCTTGTGTTTGGGGATGTGTGCCAAATGATTTTTTTCAGCTAGTGAAAAAAAATAGGGGCCCAAAACTAGCCAGTTCCTGTGGTAGCCAATGTTTTGGTCTTTAACATGAATTGTTGCAGAATACTTTTACAATGGACAATGTAATACATTAGAGCTTTAAGTAATGGAACTATTTACTGATCTATGTTATTAATTTCCATTTGATATTTTTTCAAGGCTATAAAGGTAGCCCCAGGAAATAATTGAACATTTGGCAAGCCTGACTTATAATAAATGATGTTGTGGGAGAGTAAATATACTTTAAAAATAGAACCAGATGCTGCCAAAAGTTTTGGTTGCTCTGATGAATCCTGGCCTCCAGGCTCTGTGGTTTTTTAAGTGGCAGGAACCAAGATCCTTTGTCAACCATGTCATTTTGAAACATGGAGGTTGGCCAGGAGGAACTGTACTCACAAAGCTTTGGGTGAGGTTTTCTTCTGCCACCTCAGGCAGGCTCAGCTAGCACTCAAAGAGGAGTAGAACTCAGAATCATCATAGCAAGTTGAAGTGGTGATCAAAAACTTGCAGGTTTATTTTGCATAGGGTTGAGTATAGTGTAATGCATTAGGAAGGAAAAACACTGTGTCCAAGTGGAAGACACAAAGGACTGCCAATTAATTCGAATACAGGATAAATAGCTCAGTGTCCGAACCTATGAAATCTATGAGATGTCAGCTGGGAATGAGCTCATAATAAGTAATTCCTTAGCATTAAATTTGTAGGGGATAGAGCTTAAAAAGGAATCATTTAGAATATGTTTTCTCTTTTACTCCAGAATGTTTGGGTCTTTTATATCAAAAAGAAATTTAGAAATAAAAATCCCTCTATTGCTTCCAAAGGTTTGGCTTTTTCAAAACAATCTGTTATTAAGCAAGAATCATTCAAGTTCAGTGTAGATAAATAATACAGACAAAGGAAAAGCATTTTGAGTAAAAAAAAAAAAAAGGCGGGGCTCTTTAGAAATGTTTATTTCAAACTTGTCTGATAAAAGGTACCCCTCCTCCAAGATTAAATGCTCTTTTCAGATTACAGAATAGTTTTTCTTTCATTTGTGGATGAAATTGAATAATGTTTTTGAAGATGTTTCAAAGTGATGTACTTTAAAACACTGATATAGAAAGAAACAAACTAGAATTGCATGCATAGGCAAAAGGAGCCAGGTTATTTGGGGGAAAAGAGAGAGTTTGACAATTCTGTCAGTCTTCTATTTGATAAACGCAGGATTTTGTGTTTATAAATATAACCTTTTGGATTTCACAAATTACTTTGCTTTTAAAGATATTTTTGCTGCACTTAGTTCAGAAATGCCAACTATATTACAGTATCTTTTTGCAATCATGGCTTCAAGTGATGACAAAACTGCAATAACTTTGGAATGCCAATGAAAAGAGAATTAGACTTTCTTGCAATGTTTTGAATTCTTCTTAAGAACTAAGTTGCCCTTGCTTTTTTTTCCCCTCTTTTAGCTTTCACAATAAATGGCCCCTTGTAAATAAAATTATAATGATCTTGATAATGGTTGATCTAAAAGTCACATTGGCAGTGTTGTTTGATTTAGCCATTTTAACACAAGGCTTTGAAGGCTTTATGTAGTAGTAAATTACATTAGTTATTTTTATAGCAATCCTAGAAAACAGAATAACAAAAATCTGCAAACAATTGCCTATAATATTATTAGATTAAATGAGAAACAGTGGGAAATCATGGTGTGCCTTTGACCACATATGTATCAACCAACTATTTTCAGATCTTAAATATAGTGTTTGTTGGGGATTGAGCTAAGGGTTAGCAGTGCCTGGAAATAAAAAAGGAACCTTTCCCTGCTTCTACTGCTGAGAGTTTGACAGAGCTAAATTTGTTTCTATATTTCTGAACTTCTGTTTACTGCTTCTTAAATATTATATTCTTGCTGAGAGATTTGGTCACAGAAAATGTAGAATAAGATTATGAAGAATTTATCAATCATGAGAAAGATGAGAATACCAAAGAACCCACACTTTCTGTTTCCTTTTTTTCTTTCAGGGCATATGGATTAGTACTTATGTATTTACCATATGCTTTGCTGCCAATGTAGGACTGCTGTTTGGTGTTGTCTGTACCATAGCTATTGTGATAGGGCGCTTCCCAAGGTAAGATTTTATTTAAATATTCTGCTTATTCTTACTCAACAAAAAAGTGTACTCAACAGAAAAGTTACTTTTATTTTTGTAAAATAATATAGCTCCATAAGCTCATGTTTTACTTCTTATTAGAGAAAGGGAGACAAAATAAAATGTTTTTATCTACAGATGATATATAACAATGTTGGTCTTAATGAAATGAAATACCAACATTATAAAATAGAATGTGTTTTCTATCACTATAACAAATTTTCTATCACTGTAACAAATATCTGAGATAAATCAACTTAAAAGAAGGAAAGATTTATTTTAGCTCATGTTGTCAGAAGTTTTTGTTCAATGTCACTTGATCCTGTTGCTTTGAGCCTATGACAGTTCTGTACATCATGAGGGAGTGTGTGGTGGAGGAAATCTGCTCACCTCATAGTGGATGGGAAGCAAAGAGAGAGAGAGGAAGGGACTGGGTGCTCTTCATGGGCACACTTCTAGTACCTAATTTCCTCCCACTAGGCTCTGATTCTTAAAGGTTACCCCAACTTGTAGTCACACCACAGGTTGGCAATGAAGCCTTTAATGAACAGGCTTTTTGGGGACATTTCAGGTCCAAACTATAAGCAAGTATATGAAAATCTATTAAAATAAAAAAATCCCATAGCCATATATTGTGTCACATAAATATTTTTAATTAAGTAAAGGGATTATGGCATCCAATGAGACAAACCATATAATAACAGTAATCATTTTGAAAATTAAATAACTTCAGAAAATTTTATTTTTCACATGCCAGATTAATATATATACATATAAATATATATAATTTTCTAGATAATCTACGTGTCTTTGTACTGAGCATCCATAACTCATCTCCCTCTTTGACCAATTTCTTTTCTGTTTTCCTAGTGTTCGTTTGACAATTCTTGTACTCATTTCTCAACCTTCCCTTGAAATTATTTCTGAAATAATATATTATTCAAAATGTAAAGTTTTTTTCTGTCTAGATTCTATTCTTACAGAATCTGTAAGTATAGCTTCATTATTATCTTCTCATTTCATCACATTGATTCCTTTTTGACTTCTGTTCCTCTAACACAAGATTTGATCAAGTATTTACATTTTCTAGCCTTTTTCCCATTATGATTTTTTTTTTATCATCCAAGTTCTTACAGCTTGGAGATTTAGGGCTCTGGGAACCAAGATGAGGTAAATTATATTTATTAATTTCCAGTTAGATGCCTCTGTTGTTATTTTCCATTCCTGAGTATCCCAGAAAAATAAGATTTACCAATGTTTTATGAACAAGTATGCTATAGAATTTAAATAATATCAGACACTAATTGCTAAGATAAAATGGTATCCCTTTTGTTTCTTCATTTTTAAAATAGTAATCTGGAAATGACTTATTTTTTCTATTTGCCTTAAATTTAGAACAAAGACTTTAAGTATAATAAACATGAAAGAAATGGAATTTAAAGTGAAGACAGAATCGGATGATGTAAGTTTAGTTTCTTTTTTCCTTTGTGCAATCATTAATAATTTTTGTGGGTGAGGTAGCATTAAGACCTATAAGAAGCAGATAAATTATATCATTTAACAATATAATTGTATTTTTAATTGGTATGAATTTCCAGTGGGATATATGTGACCACTGCATGTTACAGTAGACATGCAAGAAACCAATCAAACAGAAGAAAATCTTTTTAGAGTTGGTGTTCAGATCAAATCATGCCACAGTTCATAGAACTATGGTTTACAGGGGCATCACAGCTCAGATTAGTGAGGCATTTGGAAACCTCTTTTCCATTACTAAATGCATAAACTGATAATCTTTTCTAAATTGGTGGTAGAGGAAGATAGGGAATAGGAAAACAAATAAAACAAAGTTGGCTCATGCATTGCTTTAAAAAAAAAAGTCAATGAAATCACATTGTTAGTAGAGAGTAATTAAGCCCTGAGGTCCTAAAATGCCCACATGATTGAAATTTTGCACAGTGGACAATTTTTAAAGGGAACGATTCACATAAATTATCTTATCTTACGCACACTAGTGTCTGAGTTCTAGTTTCTTGTTTGAAGGGAGGACTAAAATACTGTAAAATATGTGAAAAACAATGTTGGCTCAACTCATTTTTGCCAATTTTTAAAAATTGCCCTCACTTTGAACCTGCTTGGTAAATGTTTGGCTAAACTTTTCTCCTTTGTTTTTCCTATTCACTTGTTCAGTACCTCATGATTCCCCCCAGAGTAGAGAGAACTAGCCTCCGGCTAGAAGGACCAATGTCAGGGTATTTCTAAGTAGACTAAAAGCAAGAAGTAACATCAAGACTCCTCTGTGACAGCAGGGGAGTGGCTTATGTTTTTAAAATAATTGTCAAAAGATTTGTTTCACAGAGAGCTATTTGAGTACAGAGGCTTTGAGGGTGTTCCAGGCTCAGGTTTTTCAACAACTCTGCCTTTCTTTTCTTTCCTTAAAATTTCCATGGAAATTTAGGGCTGATACAAAGTCCCAACCTGACTCTAGAGCTCCTGAATTCCTCAGTGTGTCCACTCCACATGTCCACATACATCAGCTTGACATTCTTACTTTGAGAGAGAATTCAACTTTGGATTGATTAGTTTTCATCTTAAAAATCACTGGTTAACAAACTTTGTCTAATCCCTACCTTCTTCTTGTGTTACACGTGTGGCAAAGTGAGTGAGGGATTTGAGGGAAAGTTGAAAATGCTACAAATTTCTCCATGTTCTTAAGCCTTGTATGGTTCTAGTCTTGTCACCCACTTGAATGATAACTGTATAACATGGGAATTTTAATTTTATTAAAGTGTTATGCCTCACTAGTTACTTGATGTCTTGTATCAAACCCAAGAGGGGAAAAAACTAAAGTTAACCAAGATTTGAATATAAACTTTGGATGGATTTTTTCCCCTAACTTAAAATGTTATTCCTTTATTCAATTGCTAATTTTTCCAACCATTCTTACAAAAGACCCATTCCTGATTTGGGAGTTCTCTTCCTACTCAATAAACTCAATTCCATTCAGAATTTATTTTCAGGAACAATTTTTTTTTTTGTATTGTCTTAACTGAAAATCTACTGGCACAATCACATGTGATTTTTATGACTAAATATGGCAGATCTAAGAACTAATATTTAATTTTGGTTTCTAAGAAATTTACACTTGCTTAAGTGTTTGACAACTTAAGTTTATTTTTTGTTTTGTTTTGTTTTCTTGAGTTATATGTTGCCAATCTCTTCATTTTCTAGAGTTTAATCAGGTTCATAGCTTTAGCAACTTTTTGAGATTATCTAGCTTGAACATTTATCTAATTTTAAAAATGAGGAAACTGAGAGAGGTTAAATGAATTGTCCAAATTAATGTACTTAATTCTTTCTTCTTTCTTTCCTCTGCTTGCAATGCATGACTATTTTCTGCATCCCCTCTTCTATGCAAGCATTAAAGCCTGAAGGAGTATTGCTTTGCTTAGTTGGTAAGGAATTATCATTTCATAGAACTGACTATTCTCTCAATGAGAAATTTCTCCCAAAGTCAGAGAAGATGATTTTGACTGTACAACTCCAAATGCTGCTGGTAATACCTGGACAGATGGCCAAAGCAGACACCTTTTGTATCTTTTCCCCCTTCTCCTTTTCTACATCTTTCACCTGTATTCTGGCAACACAGTGTAATCTATGCCTGCCCACGGTGAAATTGTATTCCTGACATTACTTTTCAGTCTCTTTCTTCCAATTAGGACTACTAGTCACTTGTAATGTTTTATTTCAACTGAATGAAAGCTTACGTCATTCTGAGGTAAAGAGCTGATAACTGACCCTTTTGACCACACTTTCATCTTTTAAAAATACTGATGGAGGGCTGGGGGTTAGCTCAGTAGCAGAGCACTTGTGTAACATGCAAGATGTTTTAGGTTTGATACTCAACAGTGGAAAAAAAACCTAATCATTAAGCAAATTAATTTTTATTTGATAGATTGAATGGAAGGGGTACTTTGGGAAGGACAGGCTTTCCTGGTGTTTGTGGATATTCTAGGCTATTGCCTTCCCAAAACCCAGTCAGAAAGAATAAGGGCTACTTTCTGAAAAGCTGGAGACTAGTCTCATGATGACTGATGTTTCTTGGTCGAAAGGATGTACATATTTTCCCTGAGAATTGAGGTAAAACATTAAATCCTCTAAATTAATTTCAATAGTAAAAATGTTAGTTAAGGTTGCTCTCACAATTGAGTGGCATTTGGACTTAGAAGACATACTCATTGGGTCATTCTCTTTTATTTAATTCAGAAATCTGAATCTCTTTTTTCTCCTTTAAAAGGAAACTCTGCAACAGGTAAAAATTGTCTCAATAAACAACCCACTTGTTTTCCTGAATGCAAAGAAATTTAATACTGATCTAATGAACTTCATCCAAAAGGAAAATGCCAGCAACCAGCCACTTGATGACATCAGCAAGGTAGGATGATTGGTTTTGCAATAAGAATGCCATATAACAGGTAACTGTACTTCATGACATTAAGAATTGTTTCCTGTAAAGAGTAACACATTATAAAACTGTGTGCAAGACTCTCTCCCCAGCAAAACCTTATAGTGTAGTATGCTTTTCACTTTGCTCTTGTAATTGACTTTTAGACAATCACTTTATTGTTCATTTATTCATTCATTCAGAATGCCTAATGAACATAAGTACCAGAGAAAAATAAATCAGACAAGCCATTTATTTCAGAGAACCTCTTTATCATGGCCCTAACTAGAATATATTATATTTCACTCTTAAAGACATAGAATATGGTAAACGACTTCAAAGAAGCATAAACTATTGCCATCACTAATGTAACATTGTTATAAAACTTAACTTACCTCCAAAAGAAATGCCAGCTATTAGAGATATTGAATCAAATGTGAGCCGGTATGATTTAGTGGAAATGAGCAGTCTGTCATTTTTGGAATCCTTAAGCCCTCTCCAGTGTTCAGAGCCTGGACTTTCAGCCAAGCTGCCTTGCTTTGCTACTCCCCAGCTGTGGGACCTTAACTGAATTACTTCAAGTTCCTCATCTGTAATCAGGATGATTAATGAGTTAATACATGAACAACAATTAGAATAGTTCTTGGTCCACTCAATGCTGTTTAGTCTGATTTAATATTAGTAGTTTGGTTGCCCTTCTCTTGAGACTTTCTTTGACTATTCCAAAACACAAAAATCTCTTCTTTTTCTTACATCCTTGTCTCTCAACCACCCTGAAACATAGGATATCTTGGTTCCCATTTCTGGTGTCTCAAGAGCTGTCCTGAAGAACATTCTTCTGTCTCACAACTTCATGCTTCTGCCCATAGGCCTTACCCTGGTCTGTATCATTGAGACCCTGTAATAGAATCAGACATGTAATTTGCAGAGCCCATCAAAAAATGAAGATGTGAGATCTTTTGTTGAACAATTACAAAGATTTTTCAAGATAGTGATAGCAGAGCAAAAGCCAAGTGGGAAATCCTTCAAAGCATGGGACCCTTTGGGACTATAAATGTATGATGACAGCCTTGGCTATGTGTCACTGGACCTTCTTAACTCTTCACTATGCTCTTAGAATTTTACTTTAAAGGGAATATTGGCAATCGCCACCAGTAGTTTTGGATTGGGATCTTTCTCTTCTTGCCAAAGGAAGAGATTTGTTTGTAGTTGTTTAAGTTGGATACTAGGCCTATTTTTTTACAAAGCCTTGTTATACCATGTGACAGTGTGCAGCTGTATTATGAGTTAGGTAGGGTGTTTTTAACTGATATAAGCTTGCAACCACCATGCCAAACAGTATTGGGAGAATATTTGTCCAGAATTTCAAATACCTAAATGTTTTTGTCAAGCACTGTCCAGCTAGGATATCTACTGCTTACTTTAAGGCCCATGCATTCATTGCAAGTTCAATTTTACAGTAATGAGTTTGTATCTGTATCTGTTGGTCTGTACGGTAGTTTCTCTCCATCTGTCATAGCCAGCACAGTGGTCTGCAATTCTCCCCTTCAACTTCAATACTTTGCCAGTGCCTGGGTTTCCTTCACTGGGAGCTGCATTTTCAATAGACGGTGGTGATAGAAGGGCCATTTAAAAATAACCCAAGACAGGCAATTCATTCCCTATTTGAAACACAAATTAAAGAAAGATGTTCTGTCTTGTCATGATGTGGAGATCTACTTTCCTGCATGTCATCAAATATTTCCTGAATGCAGAAATATAGATCAGGGCGCCAGTGTCTGATGGATTCCTGTACATTGTATAGTCTACAGCAGTCTAATCACCAAATTGTGCCTTTGTTTTGTAAAAGAAGTTTTGATGTGCTGTTTATCCAAAAATTTCTACTGTTCAAACACAGTATACTTTTTAAAATACACTTTGTTTCTTTAATCCAAAATTGAACCAAACATGAACTCTTGCAGGAAATGTTCTAAAGAAGACATTTTGACTTGATTACATAAGTTATCTACTAAGCTAATGTATCTACTAAACTTAGAACTCATTATCATTTTATTATTTTCAAGTTTATTGTGGACATTCTGGAAACAAGTCTAGTGACTAGTTTTTGTTATTCACTATGGAGAAAGGAATGATGTACTTTTTCTCATGGACAACAATAAATGTTTATAACATTTTTTTCTTTACATTTGTTTTATTTCAGTATGAACAAAACACGTTGCTCAATTCTCTGTCCAATGGCAACTGCAATGGTGAGTTTGCTTTAAGGAAGAAACAATATAAGTATATTGACTTGACTTTAGATCAGAGAGTGAAATCTTCTCCTTCTCTCCCTCTGCTTCTTCTGCATTGTCCTCTTCTGTTTCTCCTCCTCACCTTCCTCTTCCTTCTACTTTCCTTCTCCTTTTTCATCCCTTCTATTTTCTGCTCCTGTATCCTCTTCCTCCTACCATCTCCTTCTTCCTCTCTTTTCTTCTGTCCTCCTCTATTTATTTAACATAAATGTTTGTAGCACAGATTGAAACTCATATTATTGTTTTAACGTGAACCAGCATATCCCCACAAATATGATCTCTTTGAATATATTATGGATTTCTACCCTAGCAATGTAAAGTAATTACAGCTTTGTACTTACCTATAAAAAAGAGTCAGGTAACAGCAGCAAATGTTTTGATCAAGGGTGCTTGTTAAATTATCTAATAACTACTGTACTACAGCATATATTACAAATAAATATATTACATAGAACATCAGCCTGTATCAACATGGAATGCAGCTCTTATATTAATTAGCTTTTCTGTTTCTTTTTTGACTTTGCATAGGAAATTTGCTTTTTCCTGCCTGTGCTCTCAAAGAACAGTTACATAGTACTAATACAGTACTTATTTAATGATTAACGTCTTTAATGGCATTGCTCAAATGAAAACATTTTCAGAGTTTCTTGCTTTTGCCTTCCATGATTAGTGCCACTTTGCACAGAACAATAGCTGATGGACATTGTCACCTTTGCTATCTTGGTGAAATTTTTTTGCCATCCAGTGGCCCATTGATAGTGGTCAGAAATAGTAGATCTTTTGGCTTCCTTCTTCTCTTCACTTTTCTGACACTTCAAGATGTCCTCAGTCCTCTTTTTTCCTCCTCTCTTCTCTCTCTTTCCTCTCCTGTCCTGTCCTCCCCTCTACTCTCCTGTCCTCTCCTCTCCTGTTCTTTCCTCTCCTTTCCTTTTGTTCACTCACACCATTCTACTCTCACCTTTCTATGCTTTAAATGCTGTTGGGTTCACTATTCTTCATCTTACCTCTCAATTTGGTTTCTTGATCATCACATTTTCACTTCTGTGACTCTGATACTGTCTTTAGTCATGTTCAAAGTACGTAAGTACAGCTTTCAGATTTTTTTTCTGCTGAGACAAATGATGATTCTTAAGCATAAAACTTTTAAACCGGTAATGACAGGGAACCCAAGAGGGTGGCTATAGGAGAAGATGAGTTTCATTTGGAGGATGGTAAATTAAAGGTCATGTGAGGTCATCCAGGAGACTTTCAATAGATTTGGGGAATTGCAGAACTGATCAGGAAGTTACCAAAGCAAATGGGAGACAAACTGAGTAAGGCAGTGGGTAAAGGGGAAGAGAACTAAAAATATTTTTTTCCCCAATAGACTTTTTGGAAGGGGAAGGTTCATAGTTGATCACATGATAGAATAATAAAAAAAAGTATAAACCAAGCTTCATAAACTATAGGATGGAAATTATGGTATTTCCCTGAATGAAATGAAAAATTGTTTAGCTTGTGGAGAAATCTTCTATTATCATGTTTAGTAGTTTGGGTCCCTCAAACAATTTAGCCCTTTTATGCTAATACGAAGAGGTACCCTACTGAGGTCTCTGATAGCATTCTGATCTGCCAGGCTGGTCTCTACCACCTATTCACCTACTTAATTTCCCGCCATTCTCCAGGTCTTAGATCATACATCACATTTTTCCTTTCATTCCTGTATTAATTCATAACATTGTTTACTCAGCAAATATTTCTTATATTATTGAACATCTTCTAAATCCTGTGTACAGTAAGAGATGCTACATATTCAAGGATGAAAAAAGTAGACATGGCTTCTACCATGTCTAAACAAGCTCTTCCCTTCCACACCTCCTTCTTATTCCCCAAATCAGCAACTTAGGCATACAAATTTCTCACTGCAGATGTAATAAATTGTCATAAATATAGTGGTATAAAACATCACACATGTATTATTTTACAGTTTGGGGCAACAGAAGTCTGTTGTGAATCCAATAAGCATAAAATTAATGTAATGGCAGGACTGTATTCCTTTTGGAGGCTCTAAATGAGAATCTATTTCCTTGCCCTTTCCAGCTTCTAAAGACTTTCTGCCTTCCCTGGTTTGTGTTCCAACCTACATTTTCAAGCCAGCAGTAAGGCCTTTCACATTTCTCTCTGACTTCTTTTTTGTCACCCCATCCTCTCTTACTCCGAACCTCTTGTCTCCTTGTGATTACATTAGGCCCGCCTGGGCAATCTGGGATAATGTCCCAATCTTGACATCATTCATTTAACCAAATCTGCCAAGACCCTTTTGCCATCTGAGGTAACCTATCCACAGGTGCTGAGGATTAGCATGTGGACATTGTTGGGGGCCATTGTTCTGTCTGTCACAAAGGATCTCCTGCCCTTCCTTAGCACTTTGTGCACATCTCCAGCCCTCACAAGGCTCCAAATTACTAGCTTAACTGACTAAGTTTCCTGTTTGGTTGAGTCTGTTGAAGAAAGGGACCATTATCTCGTTTACCGCTGTACTTACATTGGCTAAGATGGTAGTGACAGTATGCACTCAATGCATCTATGTTAACTGATTGCTGGAATGAAGAATGGGTGAATGAATGAATGAAACACTCTAAAATATGTGCATCCAAAATATGTTTTCCAAAAGTAGTGCTGTTGTTTTTCCTAAATGTTTCTTATCCTCTCATTTCTTGAGAGATTAGAGATGGAAATCTGCTTCTCAATAGTTAATTGGTGTCAACAGAAAAATACCCACTTTCAAAAAATGATGAGTAACTCAGACTGTCAAGAATCTTTTGAAGTATATGAAAAGCACTCCTAAATTATGCAACTATGAATACTTTTTAATTAAAGGAGCTAATGAATATTCCACAGGAAAGAGATGACTTCCACAGTCTGGAGTTAATTGCCCACCCACACCTGATGGTTAATTTCTTTCTGGAATGTTATTTTTTTGTAGATAAAGCCCATCATTTACCACATTCCACGTGGGCATAGATTAGTTGTCTCCTCTGCACATGCTCCAAGTTTACCCTTTTGCTTAAGGCAGGATATTAGCTGTAAATTCCCTTTTCTCTTTTCTGGGATGATGTGGTTTTTATCGCACTACTTGATTTATGTAGAAGCTTGAACACAAGGTTATATCCGTAAAATCAGTACAAAATTGAGAGGATACTGTGTAAGAGAAAACTTTGCTTTTATTTTTGGAAAGATTTCAGAAATGCCCACTACATTTAAATTTTCATTTGAGTGAATTGGTAACTTCATCATTGGGATGTTTTTTTCATTCAAAGGAGGTATCATGTATTGCTTCTTTTAAATTAGCTTACTTAAGGGGCTGGTGGTGTGGGTCAAGTGATAGAGCACCTGCTCAGCAAGTATGAGACTGAGTTCAGTCCCTAGTACTGCAAGAAAAAAAGTATGAAAAATTAAAACAATAGCTTACTTAAATAATTATCCACAACACTAGGCACAAGTCTTTTATTTTGCCTTATTTTGTTTTAGATGGCCTGAAAATGTACACATATTTTGATTAAAAGAAGAGTAAAACTGAAACTCAACTATGAAAATAACAGACAAAGCAAACAATAGGATGGACACACAAAGAAAATGAAAGGGAAATTTTTATATAAATTTTTTTTTGAGACAGGATCTCACTATGCAGCCTAGGCAGGTCTCAAGCTTGAGATCTTCCTGCCAATGTTTCCCAGAATGCTGGGATTGTAGGCATGTGCCACTATGTCCAGTTTTCAATATCATAATTGATAAAATCCAAATATTTTCATAGTTGTGAATCTACCATCATTTAAATTAGGGAGTAGTTATAAGACAGTAAAGAGAATGACAAGGACAATTTAGCAATGAAATACATATGGTATGCCAGAAAAGAAAAAAAAAACCTTGTTCTTAAAATTTTTCAATACCTTTTAACCACCATTTTCTGGTTGTTTAGATAGAGTTATTATCAATCTCTTAGTTAACCTATACACAGATTGTTTTTGACTATTGTATTTTTAATTTCAGAATGGTAAATACAATTCTGACCCAAGTAGCAATGACTTCATGAAGTACTGAGTTGATAAAAATTCTAAGGTTTTATTTCACTTCAGCGGAAAAATGGCTCATGATCGAATTAGCCTGCTCTGGTTATGGAATAGGATTATAGAATTTGATATATGTTTATAGATTATGATTTATGTAGCTTCTTTCAGGTAAAGCATTGCATTGACATGTTTTCTAAATCAAACAATTGCTAATATTCTTTCATATTATATTCGTTTAATTTCTTGATCCCTCTCCTGTATACTTTACTGACTGTTATGCTTCAGTAAATAAAGAATAAGACTTAAGGATCTCAGAAACTTCAGTTGTCACTTTTTCATTTTTAGGGTTAAATATTAATGCTATCTTTCTGTAGAAATTTTTGAGTAAAATATTAGATTGTAGTTTATTTGAAATGTGTACTATTTTATAAAAGATATTCATTTGGTAAAAACAATGCTGTTATCAGCTGTGTGTGTGGGGGGGGCATGTGCTTATAATTCCAGTACTCAGGAGCCTGAGGCAGGAGGATCATAAATTCAAGACCAGTCTGATCCACACAGCGAGACGCTGTCACAAAAAAATCCCCATCAAATAAAATTACCAACAACAGCAACAATATTGCTGTACACGTTGACGAAAAAAAAATGCCTGAGTTTAGTATCAAGTTTTGTTATCACTGTCATTTTAAGATCTATGGCTAGGCTAGGGTTGTAATTAAGTGGTAAAGTGCATGCTTAGTGTGTATGAGGTCATGGGTTCAATCCCCAGCACTGCAAAAAAAGAAAAACAAACAAACTATTGCCAAATTGATTTTAATAGTGTTTTAAGTTGTTTATTTAATCGAACCTGTTGGATTTTAAAAAATACTGATTATTTTCTTTATCAAGAGCACCTACCTCTAAGCAGTGATGCCCTGGTAAATCTTTAACAAATAATTTTTGCTGCAGGAGACGTGAGTGGAGTTGTGGAGAAGCATTTATCTGTAGCATTTTCCAATTTCTATGGCATAAGTATTTCTACTGTTACTGAGTTCAAGTTGATGGCATACTGTCGTTATACATGCAGCTGAGAATATGTGTACATAATTGCGATGAGCTGGTACCAACCTATTCTGTCTTTTAAGAAACTGTACAAATTTTATTTTATAAAGCAGATATGTTCAAAAAGATCTGCATAGGAAGCTTTCTTTTTTTTAATTTTTATTCTATTCATATGTGCATACAATGTTTGGGTCATTTCTCTCCCCTTCCCCCTGCCTCTTCCCTTATCCCCCCTTTACCCCCCCTTACCCCTCGCTACCCGGCAGAAACTATTTTGCCCTTATCTCTAATTTTGTTGAAGACAGAGTATAAGCAATAATAGGAAGGAACAAGGGTTTTTGCTAGTTGAGATAAGGATAGCTATACAGGGAGTTGACTCACATTAATTTCCTGTGTGTGTGTGTTACCTTCTAGGTTAATTCTTCTTGAACTAACCTTTTCTCTAGTTCCTGGTCCCCTTCTCCTATTGGCCTCAGTTGCTTTAAAGTATCTGCTTTAGTTTCTCTGCACTGAGGGCAACAAATGCTATCTAGTTTTTTAGGTGTCTTACTTATCCTCATATGTGCTCTCGCTTCTATCATGTGAGCAAAGTCTAATCCCCTTGTTGTGTTTGCCCTTGATCTAATGTCTGCATATGAGGGAGAACATACGATTTTTGATCTTTTGGGCCAGGCTAACCTCACTCAGAATGATGTTCTCCAGTTCCATCCATTTACCTGCGAATGATAACATTTTGTTCTTCTTCATGACTACATAAAATTCCATTGTGTATAAATAAATTTGGAACTCCAATGTACATTATAAACATGATTAGTCTTACTAAATTTTTTGTATCTAACTTTGTAAGAAAGATTTAATTCTGTATAATATATGTATGTCATATGAATTTTTGATGTTTTCCACTTACCAGATATTTGTTAGAGGTTTTTATACTCTGAAAATGTATAAACTTTTTGTACTATTTTCTAAATAGTACAAAAATCTATTCATGACCCAATCATCATTCCACTGTTGAGTAGAATGAGTATGTGCTTAGAATAAGTGGTTGTCTTCTCACTGCACCTTGATCTTTTCTTATCTCTGATAACGAACAGGGGCACATTATACCTGAGAACGTCAGTAAGAGCTCCTGCGTTAGTTAGAGGTCAGTCCTGTTTTTAATTAGATGAATGATGAGTGATAATGATTACTACTGAGTGGTTAATAGATGAGCTAAGCTGTGGTTGCTTTGAATTTTGTTTGAGATTCTGATTTACCACCACGTCAGGTCAGGGTATGATGCATAGCTTGAATCTTCATGAACTGCTTAGCTGCATTCCCAGAGGAGAAACAGGCAGCAGAAGGCACAACTGCAGTGTCTGGCGCATAGTCGGCCCTCAGTTCATGCTGGTTGGATGATAGCAGGAGGGTCTGGATCTTAAGCTATCATCAGTGCTTAATTAAAACTCCCCAGATGTCTAGAATGTTGACATCTATCTCAGCATCGCCTCCTCCAAGCCTGCTGTTTGCATGAAGTATTCCCTGATCACTTCAAGGAGACACCTCCTTTTTATAAATTCACATTATTTTTCATTTTATCATTTTTAATAATATGTCATTTGAGTCCCCATCCTATCTTTGGCACTCAAGAATATTATGAGCTCCTTGAAAAAAGAGTGAGATTGTGCTCGTATTTGTTTTTACCCACTACATATTAAAAAACTTCCTGCACGTAGTGCATACTCTGTAATTATTAATCAATTAATAATGTGAATATAGATCTAAAGGTGAAACTTGAAAAACAATCTCATACATGAATATGGCTTTTCAAGTACATTAGTAATTACCCTGAGATACAGGGTAAGTCCCTGTTTCAAGTTTTTTTTTTTTTTAGTCTCTGTTTCATATTTTTTGTTCATACATTTTAAGCAGTGTTTTTTTTTTTAATGTGCTTCTCCTTCACATTTTCTTTCAAAGTGAGAAATAATCATTTTCCCACTTTTCTGTAACTACTATAAGGGAAAATCTTGAGCATTTTAAATGACAAATCTATTCCAATTAATACTTTATTTTGTTCAGAATGTTTAATAATTAATGAATTGGAGCTAATTTGATAAACTTTGCCACTAATTGCAGTGGCATTGCACCTATATGATTTTCTCTGAGAGCTGTATCACTTTTTAGACGGACCCCCAACTGGGGCCTATCACTGTACAGAAATGTCATCACACATGAGGAAACTGTGCCTCTGAAATTGTCATTCAAAAAGAAGTCATGAACTTCCAAATAAAATCACTTTCTTGTCTGGTGTATTCAGAAGTAGATTTACTGCGCAACTAAATGAAGCTTAGGTTTCAGGGTCCCTCACATAGGCCCCTTCTAAGGCTGTGGGATGAATCCTAGCAATAGACTTTTGCTTAAAGTGTGAATTCAAAATTGTGCAAGCTTCAAGCATCACAAAACCAGGCTCTATTTCTGGGCCTATTCATGAAGGGAACAGTGTGATATTGTGGAATATGTCAGAGTGTTTAAGAGGCTTCCATTCTAGTATGTATTTAGCACTAACTTGCTAAATATTCTATTCTTTCAAATTCATTTAAATTTGCCAAACCTTATTTTATCTGTGAAATGATACCAGTATTTAAACTATCCTGTCCTCCTCTTATTTATGTGATAATTACCTGAAATAAAATTCTAATCACTAAAAAACAAAGAGTTCAGGAATAATTAACAATTATCTGAAAAATTTAAATATTAAAAAGCATTCGGAATTAGTGTGGTTAAACATGAGGTCCTGTTGCTTTCCTACCATTTAACCAAGTGGGCTGCAGAAATCTTTACAAAATCTCCCTAACTCAGGTCTCTGTTCCTCTCACAGAAGATGCTGCACAGCCCTGCTGTAGTGAGAGGTGGTCATTAGTCCTGGACTGCAGTGGCTTGAGCCTTTTTGACTATTCTGGAGTCTCCACGCTTGTCGAGGTATTTACACAGCCTGGGTTCATACTTATTCTGTCCCTTCTCTTTAGTAGCTGGAATTTTCGTCAGCCATTCTCAGTTCCAGAGTCTGAGCTTCCTTCCCCACAAGCAAAATAGGACTTTGTGCCTCACATCACTGTAGGTTTGTTTTTGGAAAACACCATCCAGCTTCCAGCTGACTTTGAATGGAGGCGGATATTTACCAGGGTAGTCACAAGACAGAGACTTCTGGTGTTATGGACATCATATCTGCAGGGCAGTTAACTTATAAGAAGAAAGAAAAGACTCTTCCAGGATGCAAGCCACATGAGCATGTGGCCTTGGTGGTGGCAGGATGTTCTATTACATCATGACTGGGTTTCATTTGGCTCCATCCCATTCCTGGTCTCTCAGACACTGCTCCATGCAGAGACTTTTTCCTCTTGTTTTCTGGGAGGCAATGATACCTCTTTATCCCATAATCTCCATGATCCAGATGCTAAAAAATTAAAGCTGTTTCTTTAAAACTGACATAGCTCACAAGCTCTATTTCCACAGATGGAAGAACACCTAATTTTGTGACTTCTAGAAAAACTGAGACCCACTTCCAGGAAATATTTCATCCTTGTTTCTAAGTCAACAAGTAATTCACTCTCTTTCTCATCTCCTTCTGTTCTTTCCCTCAATATCCTAAATCGCTGGAGGCGAGGGGCTCTTAAGGGTATGGTGACATCTGTTCTCATGTCCTCAGCCCTCCACCAGCTTCTGTGCATGTAACCAGCTCACCTTGCCTTTATGAGCCTGCTCCTTACAGGTTTTCTTATGCTAGCCTTCTAGAGTCTTCCCTATTTGTGGTTTTGTACTTGGCCAAAGGCATAATGAATACCCTATGAAAATGTTTTGAGCTCTTTCTCTGCATAACTTCCTCTTTCTATTACTCTGTCCACAATTCTCGCTTATCTAACCCTTCCTGAGCCCCAATTCTGTCTGCTCAGCCCAATGAAGCCACTGCATTTTGCTTGGGTCCCTGTCGTCTTGTGGTGGCAGGAAGCTGAACTCATGGGAGGGCTCCTCTCATTTGTTCATCTCTCAGGGAACTCAGTCCTGCTCTGCCTGAAGCCTATTGTGTAAATACAATACAGTTTGTATACTTTTGTCCCATTGCCTACTTACTTATGGAGGATGGGATAGTATTGAATTAGTTACTCATCATGATCAGAAGTGGAAATCAAACATTGGCTTTCAAAGAATTCAGATTAGTGGTGTTGATATTATTTCACATCTTAGGTTTTGTTCTCTTGTGATGTTGCATTCTTTGTATCTCTATTCATTTGTATTTTAAATCTGATTTGAAATGTCCAACCTTTCAAATCCCAGATATACAGATGTCAACTTTAATGTCACTCTCCTATGAGGATAAGGGCAGGAGTGTGTAGAAGGTTGTGTGTGGGTTATAACTGTCCTCTGCTGCACAGCTGAGGTGTTGGGGAATAATTTTCCTGGATCTCAGTTGATTCCTTTGTGAAAATGAAGTGAAGGGTGATTTTGTTTCAGCAATAGCAGTATTTACAAAGCAAGTAAATAATACAAATCAAAGTTTAAATACTTGAGATCTTAAATCTAGCAGCTATTTTTGGTGAGTTACCATTAAAAAAAATCTTGTTTGGTATAAAACCTTTGCCCAATTGGGCACAACCTGAATACTTTTTATTTTCTTGCAACTAAACCTTGGTTGTAAACACATCGTCTTTCTTCGTTGGAGGCTATTTGTGCTTAGCGTTTTTATTTACTCTGTTGCCAGGTTTTGAAGATTGCTCTTAAACTTGAGTGCTTCAAGATGATCTGGGTGCTCGTTTAAAATGCACTCTTCTGAGACCACCTTCAAGCCCAGAACCTTTATTTTAAATACTCATAAGTGATTCTGAGGCAGGTGGTCCAATGATCACATTTGGAGAAACACTAGACTAGAATTATACTTTTACTGGGAAAGGCTACATGTACATTTTTTGTTCAATTGGATTTTAATTTTGTTACTGAAATTATTAGCTGCCTGCTCTACATTTTCGTAAACAGAATTTAGGATTAGTAAAGAGGAAGAAATGACTACCACTCCCCTAGAGCTCAAGATTTAAGGTTGACAATTCTGAAGAGAATCCAAACAATCCAGGCACTATGTATGTTGAGACAGTGTTGCTCCCCCATCCCATGCATATTAGAGGTTTTAAAATTCCATGTGGTAAAATGATGAGTAAGTTAATTGATACAATTTATTTCTATATTGGCAGAAAAGACATTTGCCCTTGGTGAAGTATTTTTCATCTATATATATAAAACTAGCAATTTTATATCAGTTTTTATTTTAAATTTCTTAATTACTATTGGTTTATTTTATCATGGTTATAATAACATTATGATGTATATTAAGATCATAAGCTTCAAAGATAGACAAACTCTGTATCCAAAGATCAGCTGTATGCTAGTTCTGTGATCTGGGCTTGAGTATTTGTTTGCTTTTCTATAAACTAGAAGTAAAAATATCTATTGCATCAAGTTGTTGTAAGGCTTAGGGATAATATATTGTTCATAAAGTACTTAAGACAATGTTAGTAAGTACTCAATAATTCTAGTTTCCATTATTCCCTTTTTTTTAAAAAAAGTAATTTCATTTCTTAAAGTCAAATAATATAGTTTTAACTAATATTACTCCTTAATTCCAGACACTCCCAAAGAGAGTCCTGAGCAAAGAGCCACAGAGAATCTTCAGCCATGCATGTCTGTCTTCCTGCTCTCTAACAATACTCCCTGAGTTGTTTTCTTAGTTGCTTTAGTATAAAGAACATTCTCCTCCAGTGTAGGTTGAATTGACTGCAGTGACTTCTATTTATTCTATTACGTGGGACACTTGAGGGGTCAGTGAACTGGAGATTATGTTTATCAACATCAACAAACAGCAATGTGTGCTTCATTGAGCTTAAGAAAAAGTCAAACACTGAGAGGTCACCTTGAACTAATCACTTAACTTACAAAAGCAGGAGCCATTTATTCAATGTCGAAGTCTGAGTCCACATTTTATTTTTTTGTTTGTTCACTTATGCTCAATATAGCAGAACTCTGATTATTTCACATTTCTTCTCACATAGGCAGGATTACTTACTGCTGAGAGAATGTGAGAGAAATTCTGGATGTATCACAAACATTGTTAAAATATATTATAAATGCAGCTTTCTTACTTTCTATGTAAGATACCCTATATTATTTTATAACCAAATCCATCCTACTGTAACTAAAACCTTTAGATTTACTTGCACTGAATTTCATGGGCTGAGATTGGTTTGAATGAATTCAAGATAAGTATCTTGTATAAATTGTTTCCACTTGAGATTTTAAAGTATGCTAAGGAAATTAGTTTGGATCTCTCATCTTGATAGACCTTGATTGACTTTTAAAAATGGAAATTGGGCCATGAAAATTGTTTTGGATCATAGTGAGGATTTCAACTTACCATCCATGGTGGGGTTTACAGAGACTATAAATATGCTCAAATTATTACAAGCAAACATTAAAGTCAGCGGTAGATCAGCATCCTCCATCACTTTCACAAATGGCTCCTTTTCTTTCAGTAAAAGAGCAATTTTACATCCTTCTTCTGGGGAAGGAAAGGTGATGCTGTGAGTTTCATTAAATGAAGTAGAAAATATAAGCAGCCGAACTTAATCATAATAAAGGTAGAGGCCTTGCTGCATTAACCTTTAGTCTTTTAGACTCTTGCCAGATTATGTCCAACTGCGTAGCAATGCCTCCCTCTGGTGGTTTGAATTCATGTGTATGCGTGTGTGCGCGCGCGTGTCTTTAATCAGACATAGAAACTCTCCTTTCTTCGAAAGTCTTTTTCCTCCTGTCTGCTATTCTGAATTAATCATGGGTATATCATTTGAATTCTTCCAGGTGTACATGGAATGTAAGGGCAGAAGTGTGGATGTATCATTAGCCAATTGCACAGGTAAGAGAGTATCCTTGGCTGACTTTGAATGTGACCCTTCTGCTGCTTCATGCCTCTGTATCATTGTGCTTTCTTGTAGCTTCCTTGATAAAAGCAATGACATACTATGGAAACCTAGACTCAGAGAAACCAATTTTTTTTGAGTCAGTGTCTGCTGCAATAAGAAACATCTACTCAAATAAGGTGAGTTAATCAAGTTAGCATGTAGGAGTTACAAGCCAAACTTGAACAGAGAATCAAGGGCTTAGCATGTTTTGTATTAGCTTTTTACCTCACTGGCATTTAAAATCTTTTAAACCTTCCCCTCTCCAACTCAGTTCTCTTATATAAACAAAGAGATCTTTCTGTTATTTTTTTGAGCCAGTTATGAACAACTGTCTACTATAATATCACTGCTGAGAGGATTTGATGAGTACCCATCAAGTGCAAACTGCTTATTTCACTGCTTCTTCCAGGAACCACTGTCCTGGGAATTTCAACTCAACTCTTAGGTTCCTTCTTTCTCAGATACCCATACTTCGAAGCTTATTTTGATTGCCATTTTTGGGAACAATATTTTCAGAGTCTAGTGTTCATATGACTGGAAGTATGGAAGTTACCTTCCAAATATGGAACTTTTATGGTTTAGCTGTACAACTGCTCCCAGAGTTGTGATTTCCTGAGATTTTTCTTCTATTATTAAATCATTTTGCCTTTTTTCATCCCTAGAACAACATTTGGTGCCTTCCAGGGTCTGCCCTATTATATTAAGTCAGAACAGTATATATTTGCCAAATAATAATAATACCAATATTATTATTATGATTACTACTGCACACCTAACATGTATTCAGGACTTACTGTGTTCTAGGAATACTCTACAGACTTTACCTATATTAATTCACTAAACTTGCCACAGCCTATGAGATAGATATATTATTTAGCCCATTAATAGAAATGGGAAAACTGAGGCTAAAGAAAGTTATGCCATTTGAATTGGTTTAAAATTCACCACTATGACTTTGGACCTGGAGCTTTAAACTGTTACACTCTGATGCCTTATAAAGTGTCCATTTTCTTAGCATGGTGGGGCAACTTCTGTTACTTCTGCTCTTTTACTATGATACTGATTTAAGAGTTGAGTAAGTAATACGTGCTTATTTCTTCCTCTTCTATTTCAGAATTTGAGCAAACTCAGTGACCACAGTGAAGTCTGAGACCCATTTCTTGCAATACATATCTTGTCTTTAGTACCTGCCCAGAGAAGCCATATACTGGCATATTGCACAACTTTTTTGTACAGACCTTACACATGACCTCTACTATAATAATATGATGTGACTTACTAACTGCATAACCACTGGTCAGGATTTGTCAATAGTTTTTTTCCCAATCTTTGTCTATAAGCAAATTCACTTAGTTATTTTATGTAGAAATCAGTGTTAGTGTAATCATTTAGTATTAGTGTATTGAAGGGTAAACAGAGTTAGTATTTTATATTGTTTTATTTCTGTTTTGCTGGAAGCTAATTTTTAAAACTTAGAATCACTTTTATCATAAGTGACTTAAAATATTTACAAACCAATTTTTAAAACTTCAAGGTCATCTGTAACTAATACATAAAAATAACTTAGGAAATGTGCCATTTTCCTGTACTCTCTTTCCCCAAATGTCATTTAAACATCAGTAAGACTAAATATTATTTTACCCAGTAGAATAAAAATCCACAGAAATGAAACAACCAGAAACAAAGGACAAACTAGAAGTCATTGATCTCCATATTTTTAACACATTCGATCCTGAAGTATTCAGGAATGTCTTCATATATTTGGAAGAAAACTAGTATCTCAATAAATCCAAGTTCTTAATGTCAGTCTATTTTTCTGTGAATTTGGAAATGCTGAGGATCTTCATACCAGATCACTCTCATTTCCACATTCCCACCTGATAAGAGGCTTTTTTTCTCTCCTTTAATTTTTTTGGAGCCAGAGAATGTAGAAATTCCACATCTTATATTTTTTCACAAATATCATTTTTAGATGAGAAAATACAAGATTAATTTTAGTAATTTTGGTCTTATTTCAGAGAGGCAGTCAATAAAACAAATGGTTATCTATCTATACATAGGTAGTTAGATGATAGATAGATCTTCATAATGTGTTTTTCTTTCTTTTTCGTTAGAGGAAAGCTTGCATGTGAATATCTGTAAACCCACCAAAACAATAAGACAAATAACAACAAAAAACACTAATTGCCAGGCTGAACTGTGTACGTTATTGATGCTTATACATATATCAATTGTATTTGAGTACACAAGATTCATATTTTTATCTAACAAATTGATTTACACAGGAAAAATATCACTTTCAAAAATAGGCATAGACCTATATTGATGTTTTAACTGTTCTAGAAATTACCAAAATAAGAAAAAGCCAGGTACTTTAAAGTGAGTTTAAGAAACAAGTGGAAAATAAAATTAAGAGATGGTTGTTTAATGTCTTTCATGGGCATCTATAAGAGTAAATTCCATCTTCTACATGAATTATAATGTTCCCTAGCAACTGTGTGGTAAGCATTCATATGGCCTTTAATTTTAACATGAAATGCTTAAATAAGACAATGTAATAAAGTGAAAAAAGAATAGTAAATGCTCCAGTTTGACTTAAATTACCCAACCATTATAATTATTATTGAAAAGAATACAAAGAATAGTTTTGGACACCAAATTAGCCTCAATCCTTTTATCACTAATTCAGATTGAAATGAGCAAGCCTGGTTCACATCTCCATCAAACACTGTTCCAGGGAAAGGTGGAGGTAATAATTGGAAGTAAAATTTCCTTAGAGAAAGGAATTTTACTCTGCTTTATCCAACTAAATTATTCCAATAGTAAATAGTGGTTAATATTCACCATCCCTAATCCATAGATCACTGGCAGATAAACATGAGTCAAGAAAAGTCAAGAAAAGAAAATATATTTTGCTATATATAAATTGATGTTTTCTATGCAACTTTGGCCTGTTATTTAATTCATGCATTGCAGACATTTTCTAAGTTGTTAGAGATCATGGACTGTGCATGATATTAAAATCATTATGGTGAATCAGTGGGTGGTTTGCTCTATCGTATTGTTAATGCTGATGCAATATTGTCTGAGCAGTTGGGTTTGAATGCATTCCAGTGTTTGTAGTAGACGTTTAATAGGTAACATTTCAAAGGCAATAATTTGGGTGTCAAATATTGATGTTATTCTCAAAGAAAGGAAGACCAATCCATGTACTGTATGAAGTCCTAATTCTATGACTTTTTCCTCAGACATGGCCACAATGACTGTTAGCTGAATAAAATCCCTTGAGTTACATTTAGAGAGTTCAAGAAATTAATCTGAGTTTTAGACATACAAGATTCTAAAACACAAATGTTTATTTCAAAGCAAGAACAGATAGTACAAAAAATAAAATATGGCTCCAGTGTTGCAATGTTTCTGGAATCACACTGAATTATTTTTATGAGGACATCTTATTTTTATGTATGATAAAGTACTTCCATATTACATATTATAGTAAAATAAAATTGGAAAAAATTAAAACTGACCTATATGAGTGTTAAGGGCCTAATATAGTAACAGATATAAATTAAGCATAAAATATGAAACCAGGAGTAGAGTGTTAATATTACATTTATGCAAATTAAATGTCCTTAAATTTTACCATTTGTCTTTCATTTTAAAGGTTATTTGCCATCTATTATATAATTCAAGTGTTATAAAGTTTAGCTTAAACTACTTTGCAGTAATTTATTTGACAGATCTCTGTTCTATAAATGTGTAATGTAATGAAGAAAGAGATCTTTCTTTTTAATGAAAACATTAATGTGTTAATATCCCTTTTGAATAATGCTTGGCATTTAGTGGTAACCAAAATATGTTGGTATGTTGTTGAACATACATATGCTTTAGAAATACACATTTTATGTTCTATGGGATGATAATCTAATTCAATATAGAGTATGTTTTTTGGCAGTGAGTTTGTTGCCAGGTTTCAAATAGGAAGTTAAGTGGTGCTTTCACATTCCAAAGATTTTTAGTTAAAAATCATGTAGTCTAATACGCTGCACTTATTTTTATATTTTTAAATGCATTTAATTACCTTTTTATAATTCTTTGTATTACCTCAGTATGTAACAACCAATTTACATGGAAATAAATTAAAATATGGTAACTATTGTACTGAAATGAATCTGCGTCCATTATTTCATTGTATTTACTCTCCTGCAAAGCAAATAATATATATTGCTTTCTTAGACTGGCCACGGAATATTATGTATTGAAAATTCCTGAAAATATCCATATTCCTGGTAATTTGTTCTTACAAAATTCAATGTAGGCCTGTAAGGTACTGTGCCTTAATTTATTCACTGCTGATAGAAGCACCTTTTGGCTAAAAGACTGCATTTACACAATTCTATTTCACCAAGTGTACACCCTTTTTGTTCTAATTTCAATTAATGAGTACATTTTTTATTCACTTGGGTTCTTCATTATCTATGCTGTTATTTTGTCTTCCCTGAGTTTCTAGGTTGAGTTCAATATTCCTCAGTATTTTAAAGTATACTACTCAAATGGCAGGAAGATAAGTTATTCTAGGTGCTGGAAATATAGTGAATAAAACAGAACAAACTTTTCTGTTCTCATGGAGCTTATATGCTAACCAGGGAAGATAGAAAATAAACAGGATAAATTTAAAATACAATATGTTCCAAGGGGAAGGATAAACCAGGAAAGATAATTTGAAGTATGGTGTTACAGCACTAAATAAGGTAACAAGCAGGTGACTAATGGGAGTGACTTAGGTCTTAGTCACCTTGGGTTGCTATAACAAAATTGCAGATGAGGTGGGTTAAACAGCAAAAATTAACTTTTCAAAGTGCTGGAGACACTTTGAAAATCAGTTTGGTTTCATTAAGGACTATCTTCCTGGCTTGTAGATGGCACTCTCTTATTATATCCTCAATGAAGAGAGGAGAGGAGAGGAGAGGGAGAACACTAATATCTTTTCTTATAATGACACTAATTTTACTGGATCAAGACTTACCCTCATGCTCACACATTTAAACTTAAGTACATTCTTAGAGGCCTTATCACAATTCAGTCCATGGTTTTCTACCCCTGGCCTCTTTCAGATTTGCGTCCTTATCGCATGTAAAAATATATATATTCATTACACCCAAAAGTCACAAAAGTCTTAACTCAGTCCAACATCATCTTTAAAATCTAATACCCAAATCTCATTTAAATATCATCTAAATGATATATGGGTAAAAATAAAGGCATGATTCATCCTTAGGCAAAGTTTAACTCCAGTTGCAAACCAGGGAAAACAGATGAATAGGGATGGCTTTCGTATTCCAAAACCAACACATAAGAAAGAAGGAAGGAGTGACCTGCCCCAAGGAAATCCAAAATCTAGCAAGGCAAGTTCTATTAGATCCATTAGATCTTATGGTTTGAAAACAGTCCTGTTTGGTTCAATGATGCCCCACTTTCTGGACCCACTGATGTGGCAGTCCTGCCTTCCAGGGTCCACAGGGTGGCTCTGTTCCACATGGCTGTGCAAGATGCCTCCACCACCAAAGCTTTGCTTAGAGCCAGACTGTCCCTAGCCTTTGAAACCAATGATCTCTGAATTGCCTTTCATGTCAAATCCTCTTTTCTTAAAGAACAATACATGTACATAGCTTATTCGCTGTGTGGGTTCTGGCTTATAGAATGCAAGATCTCCATTTTGTCCTATTTGTGTGAAACTGGCAGTGTTACAGCTGGTATGTTTCTGTCTCTATTCCTGGCATGTGCTGAGGTGGTTGATTTACTTCAAGATTCACACTCATAGTAATTTTCTTATCAAATGTTGCTCAGTCTCACTCCCCCTTTTTTTGGGAATTTGGAGCTTCTCAGTTGCAAATCAGGGCAAATCAGGTGCTCTACCATTTGAGCCACATTTGCAGTCCATTTTAGCTTTGGTTATGTTGGAGATGGGGGTCTCATGAACTATTTGAACTGGCCTTAAACTGTGAATCCTCACTATCTTAGCCTCCTAAGCAGCTAGGATTACAGGCATGAATACCTATTGGTGCCTGGCTCACTCTTTCAGAATAAGGTTTCTCATTTTATGGAACATAGATAGAATGAGAATTTTCCAAGTCTCCAAACTCATGTTCC